TCTCTCTCTTTTTCTTCTTCTCCCGAAAACCACCACCAACAGCGACGAGGTCTGCGACGGCGACGAGGTCTGCGACGACGACGAGGGCTGCGACGGCCACGACGGCTTGTTGGATCTCCCGCCGCCGACGACGTTGAAGCTATCCCGACCGACGAGGAAGAAGACGCCGCCGACGAAGAAGAAAGAAGAAGACGTCGCCGACTTCGCCGACGAAGAAGGCCGCCGCCGTCGTCGCCGATAGTGAGAGGTAGAAGAAGACGTTGAGGTAGAAGACTTCTCCTCTCTTTATTGTTCATTTTGTTTGTGGAGATCTGGGTTTCGTTTATCTATTTCAAAATTTAGGGTTCATGAGATTCGACTTGGGGGATTAGGATTTCTTTCGATTTGGGGGATCTGGGATTTTCTGTGGCTGGATTACATATATTTGATTTAGAGTTTCATAGATTCGACTGGATCTGAGTTTTTTTTTTTGCTTCGTTTTTTGGATCTGAGATTCATTGTTAGGGATCTGGGATTCTTGTCGGGGGATTTGAGATTCGATTTGGGGGATCTGGGATTCTTTGTATTTGGGGGATTTGGATTTCTTTCGATTTGGGGGATTTGGGATTTTATGTGGTTGGATTACATATATTTGATTTAGGGTTTCATAGATTCGACTGGATCTGAGTTTTTTTTTTTGCTTCTTTTTTTTGGATCTGAGATTCATTGTTAGGGATCTAGGGTTCTTGTCGGGGGATTTGAGATTCGATTTGGGGGATCTGGGATTCTTTTGATTTGGGGGATTTGGATTTCTTTTGATTTGGGGGATTTGGGATTTTCTGTGGCTGGATTACATATATTTGATTTAGGGTTTCATAGATTCGACTGGATCTGAGTTTTTTTTTTGCTTCGTTTTTTGGATCTGAGATTCATTGTTAGGGATCTGGGATTCTTGTCGGGGGATTTGAGATTCGATTTGGGGGATCTGGGATTCTTTTGATTTGGGGGATTTGGATATCTTTCGATTTGGGGGATCTGGGATTTTTTTGTGGCTGGGATTTCTTTCGATTTGGGGGATTCGTTTTTTGATGTCGATATTGTTTGGGATTTCTGGATTTTGCTCGTTAATTTGATATATTTTTACCTGGAAAATTGTTTAGCTAGCATGGGATACCATTTAGTTTAATGTGGATATTTTTTGGTGGTTGATTGTCCGGATATTGGTTATGTGATGCATAGATATTTGTATGCTAGGTCTGGATAATTTTATGCCCTGTATGGATATTAGTTCAATGATATTAGCTATTTTCAGGAATTGTCCAATATGAAAAATTCCAAAAGGTGTTCGATGCCAGCTCCTCCAAGAGAAGGGGAGATGGAGACACATCACTGGCTCAATCCAGACGCATCATGCTGGAAAAACAAAGATTTTGACAACCTTGACCTAAATCAGGTACATAGATGTTGTCTTTGCTTCTTAAGTGACATGGTTGCATATAGTAAACTAAATATTTTACAACATATGTAGCTTGCGGCAATGGAGTCAATGGTTGAGAGCATGATCCAAATGTGGAGGGCTCGGGACGACGCGCTCAAAAAAATTATCGAGCGTCAGCAAGACAACAGTTGAACTATTGCTTTCTCATTTCTTATGTGGTTGTGCTTTTTAGGATTTGAAATTCTTGGATTGCCAAGTTGTAATGACATTAAATACTAGTTCTATCGCGATTTGTCTATCAAACGACTCTTTTTATTAAGAATTCGAGTTTTTTATTCTGGGATATTATTTGCTCGTCGAAAACACATCTCCACAAAATAAATATCCAAACCACTCAAACTAATATCCGACTGTCGCACTAATATCCGTTCTCCATTACAAATATCCATACTACCCAGACTAATATCTCACCGTCTCATACTAATAACTAATCATCCCGAAATTAATATTCTCACTATCACAGACTAATATGTGACTACATATCCAGCCATAGTCTCTTAATTAGCAATTATCATAGGTTGAAAAAGACCTTACTTTCAAATTTTCATCAAAAAAGAATATATATATATATATATATATATGGTGGCTTCTATCGTACCTTGGGTAAAATGTAGGGTACGACATACCCTGAGTAAGAAAATACTATCTAGACCTCGAATTAACCGGATTTTTGGGCATACTACTATACCCTAACCCTTGATGAGTGAACCCTAGGTCTTAGTTTTTTAAATCAAAGAGCACAAACCCTAAGATTGTGCTTGTAATTTGTTGCATATATTTTGACAAATCATAGCCGTTGATTTTTGTTTCTAATTAAATTGATCTTAGTGTATGAGATTTATAGAACTAAGACCTAGATTTTAATCCTTAAGGGTTTGGGAATAATATCATATGCCAAACTATGCTTAATTCGAGGTCTATATATCATTTTCTTACTCAATGTATGTCGTACCCTTGATTTTACCCAAGGTACGATAGAACCACCCATATATATATATATACACACACACACACACTATTTCTTCATACTTGAAAACCAATGTAGATAAACATCCATACAGAACAAAAATTCAAACCACCCAGACTAATATCCGACTGTCCCAGACTAATATCCGCTCACCATCACAGATATCTACACCACCCAGACTAGTATCCCTTTGTCTCAGACTATTATCCAGTCATACCATAATTATTATCCTCACCATAATAGACAAATATCCACCACACACTGACTAATATCTTACCCCCGCAAACTAATATCCGACTACTCAGACAAATATCCACACATCACAAACTATCCATAATAATATCCTATCACTGGAGACAAATATCGAACCACCCTAAACACTAAACCAAAACTCCAAACTTGAAACTCTGACCCGAAACCATAAACCCGAACCCTAAACACTAAACCAAAACTCGAACTCTAAACCTTGTCATACACGTCCACATAGACACCCTTCTAATATCCATTCATTGCAAAACTAATATCTAATATTCACACAAATATCCAAACACATGAACTAAAGGAATATTTTCTCAGGTTCAAATAAATATTCACACAACCTGGACAAATATCACAATATTTTAAATAAAAATCATGTGGTTAGTAAAAAGTATTACAACTAGGAACAACAAGTATTCACAACACACTAACTAATATCTTACATTTGTACCATATACCCTAAACCATAAACTCTAAACTCTAAAACCCTAATCATTAAACACTAAAAAATAAAACTATTATTGTTTGCCCAAGCCGAGAATATTCAAAGGTTCCACACAAATATCCAAACACATAAACTAAGGGAATATTTCCTCAGGTTCAAATAAATATCCACACAACCCGGACAAATATCAAAATATTTTAAATAAATATCTTGTGGTTAGTAAAAAGTATTACAACTAGCAAAGACAAGTATCCACAACACACCAACTAATATCTTCTATTTGTACTAACTAATATCCGCCACACTGACTAATATCTTATAGTTGTACACTAATTCAAATAGTTACCAAAAGTACTAGATGCTTAAATAAACGTTGGACAACATCTTAATAGTTACCAAAAGTGCCCCATTAGAATATACAAATGTCCCAGAAAATTTCCAAAAACATGAACTAATATCACTTCAATCCAAAGTTAGACCCTAAACTCTTAACCCTCTTCCCAACACAAACCCTAAACCATAAAAACTATTGTTATTTAATGGACAGTTACCAAAAGTGTCTCATTAGAATATCCAAACTTCCCAGAAAAATATCTGAAAATATGAACTAATGAACCATGAACCCTAAAACTAAAATGAATATCCACACTACCGAGAAGAATATCCATACCACCCAGTCTAATATCCCACCGTCTTAGAAAAATATCATGTGATCCCAAAATTAAGATTATCCATATATAACAGACTAATATCCATCACACACAGACTAATATCTTATTGTTGTACACTAATCCGAATAGTTACAAAAGTGCTAGATGCTTAAATAAACAAAGGATCACATCGGAATAATTACCAAAAGTGACCCATTAGAATATCCAAACGTCCCAAAAAAATATCCGAAAACATGAACTAATGAACCCTAAAACTAAAAAGAATATCCACACTACCCAGACAAATATCCACACCACCCACTCTAATATCCTTCTGTCTCAGAAGAATATCATGTGATCCCAAAATGGATATTATCACTATGACATAATAATATCCATCACATACTGACTAATAATTGATAGTTGTAGACTAAACCTATAGTTACCAAAAGTGCTAGATGCTTAAATAAACAAATGATCACATCGAAATAGTTACTAAAAGTGCCCATTAGAATATCCAAACTTCCCAGACAAATATCCAAAAGCACGAACTAATATCAATTCAACCAAAAGCTAATATCTGAACCACGTAAACTAATATTCATTCATTGCAAACGACCACAAGACTAATAATTAAACCTTTAACCCTAAAAAAAATAATAAATCATAAACCCTAACACTAACACCCTAATCACTTTACCAAAATAGCCCTATTAGAATATCCAAAAGTCCAAGAAAATTTTCGAAAACATGAACTAAATATCAATTCAAACCTAAGCTAGACCCTAAACCCTTAATATTAAACCGTATCACAAACCCTAAACCATAAAACTATTATTATTTAATGGGCCTTCGGCGGGCAGCCCTAACTAAGGTTGCAAGCCTTACGTGTTAGGACTTCCTAGTGTGTTTAGTTTAATGTAAGAAACAATATTTCAATCCTTCACAAATTGAAAACCCGAACCATAAACCCTAAAACTTAAACTCTAAATTGGTGTAATCATTTTCGGGTGGTTGGGTTATTTTGGGGTTTGGTAAATATTAGTTTAATGATGGATATTGGTTTGCGAAAGAAGAATACTAGTTCATTTCAATAATGATGCAAAGTAATATCAACACAACAGAAAATAATATCGACTGAAAACAAATAAATATCCACACAAACAAACATATATAAATATCAAGGGGCCCCATCAATTTTCATTCTCTTTCCACTCATATCCATTCTCCCGCCCAAACTCAAGCCGGGACCGTCAGCCCACCACGCCACTTGCTCGAATCCGCCGCCGCCGCCACATGCTGGGCTGGCTTCTACACGTTGGCCCACCTACAGCTCACTTAAGTGAGCCACCACCAAGCCACCTCTCCCCTCCGTTGGATGAAACATGGGCCTACGTGGCCCAAAATCCTGCTCTGTTAGTATCTGCTAACACTTTGAGCAGTTACAGATTAACTTCAGCGGCAATAGCTGCTTCCCCAGCCTCTAGTTGTAGAAAATTGGCCCGCGAAATCCTCACCGGAGGCAGCTCGAACAAGAATTTCTCGAAATAGACAGATCCAAATTCGTTCTTCTCGATGATATCCTGATTGAGAGCCAATTCGACCTCTCTCAACTCAGTCCTGCTCAGAAAGTCAAGAACCACATCAGGCGCCGCCAGAGCTTCCCCTCTGTATTTCCAACTTCGTTTCCTCCTGGTACTGATGATTCTTGTGATTCCGCCATCATCTCCTCCCCTCCCCTTTTCCTTTCCTTCCGTATCGTTCTACCCCTCCCTCTCCTTCTACCTCCCTCCAATTGATTGCCAAATAAAATCGCAAAGGCCAGGGTTCCCCTGAACCTCAGTTGAAGCAATTGCCCTCTTCTTCGGAATTCCCCTAATCTAGTCTCCATCCTCAATCACTGTCGCCAAAGCTCCGCGCATCCGCCGAAAGGAATGATACTCATCATCCCTCTACATGGCGTTGTCTAGAGCAGGGGAGGGCTCATCCTAGGTTACTTCATTCTTTGCGCTCTCTTCTACTTTCTTCAGTTGTACCTTAAGCGTCATCGCTTGCCCAATCCCCCCTCTTCCTCCTCGAACCCTCCATCATCGTCTGTTTCGTCGCCCTTTTGGTCGTCGTCGCTTGAGAGGAAAGAGCGATCAACACTACTCCACAATGTCTTCCTACAGGGGTCTAGAAACGATGGAAACTGGAGATGCTGGACCAAGCTTCTGTTGCAGTGAGTTTTAAATTAATTAGGGGAGAAGATCTAGGTTTAGGGGTTTTGTTTGCATAAATGGGAGACAACAGTTAGGAAGGTTTGAGATAAGATTTGGGGTTTTCTGGCTTTGAAGTAGTTCTTCCGAGAACGATGGCATCGATGGCTCTAGGTGGATGGGAAGGGATAGTGGGTTTCGATTGTTGAATTTGTGTTGGATCTTCCAAATTGGGAATGATTTTCGAGTACTGGTGAGATCTACTACGACGGGATTGGTAACAAATCCATAGAGTCAAACTCGTTAGGCTTCACGGCGAATTGAAAGAGGTCGTCTTGGTGATCAAAACTAGTAATCGAAAACAGAGATGACAGTGGACTTTCAGAGTCCTTGGCCTTAGGAATGGCAATGGGTCGGGTTGGGGCGGGTTTTGTCAAACCCAAACCCAAATCCATGGGTTTATCCGCCAAAAAAACTCGGGGTAAAACCCGTTGGGTTTGAAAAACTCAAACCCAATCCAACCCGCTGGGTATCCGCGGGTTCATGGGTACCCGTGGGTTTTTGTGGTAAAAAAATTACAATAACAAGTTTCTTTCAAAATAAAAGTTTAACATTAATTTTCTCATACAAATTATTCATACAAAAAACACCAATCTAGAGCATACAAGCAAACTGCAAATGATCAATACAAATTGTTCAAAATTAAAGATAAACATCTATAAACAATAAGATTAATTGAAAACTTCTTACTCGTCAACTAAGTTTCTTCACTCTCCACTTCATAATATCAACTTCATTCTAAACAATTAGAAACAACAAATTATATATGTCTCCACAAGCATAAAGAATATTAATTGTTTAAGGAAGATATATTATTTAGAGTATTAAATATACCGGGAAAGTAATTATATGTGTGTGGGCGGGTACCCATGGGGCGGGTTTACCTAAACCCAAACCGACCCGGTGAATAGTGTAGCGGGTTTAAACCCGAACCCGACCCAAAACCCGTCAACACGGGTTTTACCCGCGTTGACCGGGTTGGGTCGGGTGGGTACCCGTGGGTTCGGATTTTGTTGCCATCCCTACTTGGCCTCGAGGTCGGATCGGTCGATGGAGATGGAGTCGGTAGTGGCCGACCGGGGAAAGGTTCAACAACTAATAATTGTTTTATTGAAACGCTCACTTTTGTACCAAATTAAATTTTTTCGGTGCAATTGGGCAATAAGGTACAATATTGGGTGGGTGGGTTGAGTGTGATTTGGTTGGGTTAAATTGATTTGGGTTATTGATTTTTTTATGAATTTTTTCGTTGACGTCGCATGCTGACTGTATTGAGTTAACAGATTTTTGGATGGAGATGGACGGAATGACCATTTTGTTATTGGTCCAAATGTGTTTTATTGAAACGTGCAAAATTAATCTTTAGTGACCGTTTTGTACTAAGTGATAAGTTGTGTGACCGTTTATGATAATTACCCCCATACAGGGGCATATGCCATATGTCTCAATGATAATGCATTTATCCCGGTCAATTACAATGTGATCTAAGACCATCGGTGAGCCTTTCTTAACAACTCGTTGTTTGGAGAACTGGTTCTAGACGGTATCATAAACTTATCTACTGAGAAATCTCGTCTTAGAGATATTGGGAAAAACCCATTCGAACAATTCATAGATAATTATGTATAATGTTCTTGATATACAAGGATTTTTTCTTAGAAGGTCGATGTTGCTTTTAAATTTTGTGAATACGGTGTTTATAAAAGCGAGGGAAAATGAGTAAGACTTTTGTCTAAGAGATAACTGTAATACTTGAGGGATATGGATGACCGAAACATCAAAGCATGTGAATCTAAACTATAGTTGTAGTATATATTGAGTGGATTCGGTGTGATACTTGAAGGGAGAGAGCAAGTCGGATTCGGCAAGGGACGACGACGGCGGTCGTAGAGGAGGAGAAATAGACGGCGACGACCGTGGATTAGGAAAAGAGAGAGATGACAACGGTCGTGGAGGAGGAGGAGGATGAGAGAGAGAGAGAGAGAGAGAGAGAGAGAGAGAGAGAGAAAGAGACGGTGATCGTTTAGGGAGAGAGGGCCAACGAGAGCCATGGAGGAGAGAGACACAACGTCAATGGAGAGAGAGAGAGAGGCGGTCGTGGAGGAGGAGAGAGACGCCGACGTCAATGGTGGAGGAGGAGAGAGAGAAAGCGTCATAAGATTTTTCATCGGTGGTGCCGACTTGGTAATGTTTGTCGGCCTAGTTTGTATTGTTTTATAAATTTTTTTTAATGTTTATAAATTTGGTTTATAATGTTTGTCCTTCTAATTTGTCATTTTTGTTTGTCAAGTTTGTAACGTTTTATGACAAATTTGTATACATTGTAGTTTGTAATGTTCGTATGTCTAGTTTGTATACTTATTGTTATAAATTTTATACTTTGTGTTGGGGATATAGCTCGGATCCAGTCGCGCAAACAAGACTGCCCAGCGCGCTCGCGGAAAGCACCTTCCGCTAGTACTAGAGGCCTCCGCGAGTAAAGACACGTCCGCGGGTGCCAGAAGCGCCAAACGACGTCGTTTTGCTCTACACAAACTGGTGTCGTTTTGTAAACGGCAGACGACATCATTTGCTCTATCCAAGCCGGCGTCGTTTCGCCCAATTCAAACGGAGAAGGAAAACCGGGAAGAACGACGTTGTATCCTCCGAAGGAACGGTCACATCCTAGTCCTAGGTATAATTATGGCCCAAGGCATGGCCTAAACGTCTGACACATGTAGCAGTCATGTCACATTAAATGTCTACCCACCGCAATGTGTTCTATAAATAGAGCATTTACTCCGCTGGGTGGGGGATCGGATTTTCTGACTCTATCACTACAAAGTATCAACTTCTCTTTCTAAGATCTCTCTCTCTCTCTCTCTCTCTCTCTCTCTCAGTGACATTATCTCATACATTTATTCTCCAATCGATTCAAGATTCTCATTGCTTGCTCTTCTCACCCCATTTTTCCCGAGTCTCACTCCTACACTTAGTTAGGCTCAAACAATTGGCGCCCACCGTGGGGCCGAGTAGAGAAGCAGTAGAAAATCAACCAATGGAGGAACATAATCCCAACTCACCCAACGAGGCAACGCCCATCAAGGCAATGACGAACCCGAGGGTGTTCGCGAAAGCCAGCAACCTTAACACATTACTTATTGAAGAAGAAGAGCCCGAGCTAACGGCCAAAGAGATGAGGCAACAAATGGCGAAACAAAATGAGGTCATAGCCGATATGCAAAAAAAGATGGGCCAAGTCATAGCGCTCATGATGAGCAAGGAGGCCGCCTCAACAACACATGTGGCGCTAACCGCGCCACGACAGGTGGCGGGTGAAGCGTCAGAGCCTGTCCCAGCGTCAGAGCTTGTCCCACTATCACAACAAACGCCGGTCGAGTCACCCGCACGTGAAGTGCAACAAGCGGAGTCGCGGGCCAAGGCCGCCCTCAGCTTCTTGGAGCAACATTTATCCCCGCAGTACCGCCCCCACCCACCCAGAAGAACCCTCCATCAACCATTGAGCGTGGAAATCATGGCGGAACACCTAAGCAAAATGTCACCCGCCCTCCCAACATATAACGGGACAACCGACCCAGAGGACCATGTCAGCACCTTTTGCCTCTAGATGCCACTCCAAAACAACTCCAACGCGGTGCTCCGCAGAACCTTCCCATCAACATTCTCTGTAATATGCCTCGATTGGTACAACAGACTCCCAAATGGGATCATCCGCTCGTTCGAAGAGTTCATACTCTTATTCACAGCTAAATTCGCGTCCCAACAAAGAAGACCTCTCCACCTCAAGGCCCTGATTGACATCAGGCAAAAAGACAGGGAAAGCCTACGGGCATTCTACGCCAGGTGGTCTGGGGTGGCAATGGTCGTGCGAGACCTTACCCCCGAAACTGCCGCCCATCATCTCATGGAGGCCACCACCAACATGGAGCTCAAGCGAGCATTAGCAAAAAGACCAGTCACGCTGTCGACAGAGCTAGAGGTCAAAATCGAGAAGGCCATCACACTGGAAAAAACCCTGGGTGCGGGTTCTATCAGGCGCTTTGAACCCTCGAAGCCACCCAAAGACGATCAGGGGCGGAAGCAGCTCCCGGTGACACAGGAGCAATTGATACAGTTGCACAACAGGTCGAGACGCCCGCCCGCCCCACCAGAACAAGCTCCGCGAAGGCGTTCACCAGACAGGCGCCCACAGAACACTTACACACCACTCAACGACTCGGTGAAAAACGTGTTTCATGTGCTCCGCGAGAAGGGTTACAAAATCAACTGGCGCCCACATAACACTTACACACCACTCAACGACTCGGTGAAAAACGTGTTTCATGTGCTCTGCGAGAAGGGTTACAAAATCAACTGGCCCGCGCCCGTGAGGGCAGCACCACACATGCGCGCCCATGAGGGCAGCACCACACAGTCGAAGGAGACCGCCCAAAGAAAAAAACAAAACGCGAGCGCGCGATGGAATGCGCGACAGCTGAGGTGCAGCCAAAATGCAACCTAAGTTTTGACGACGCGGAATTCCCCCAAGGGATCCCGTTAGAAGACCCACTCACCATCACCGCGCTGGTGGCCGCCTGCAAATTCACCGCCTACTGATAGACGGGGGCAGCGCGGCGGACATCCTCTTCAAAATCACCCTCGATCAAATGCACATCGACCCGCGCCTAATCAAACGCGTGCAAGGAAACTTGGTTGGATTCTCAGGAACGAGAGTTCTGGTGATCGGTGTGGTCACTCTTCCGGTCGTAATTGGAGACCAAGAGCCGCGAGTCTCAAAGCAGGTCGAGTTTACCATTTTCGAGTGCAACTCGCCCCACAATGGCATCTTTGGTAGACCATTCCTCGCCAAGTTCATGGCCCTCCCATCGACATGTCACCAGAAACTTAAATTCCCTACCAAGGCAGGAATCAGAGAAGAGCGCGGGACGACATGGGGAGTGCCAAAAGGAGAAGGAGAGGTCCGACAGACCAAGATCGTCAACACAAGGGCAGAGGACCCGCGTCCAGAATCCATGGACTCTGATTTTGAAGTCGCGCTCGATCCCACCGAACCAACGAAGAAAGTCTGCATCTCAACCCACGTACACAGTGACGTGATTGAGCCGCTGATAGCGCTGCTAAAAGAGTATAAAGAGTTGTTCTCTTGGTGCACTGAGGACATGCCCGGAGTACCAAGGCAAATAGCTCAACATTGCCTCGTGGTTCCAGCCAACGCAAAACCAAGGCAACAAGCGCGCGGCGAAGCTTTACGGGCGATAAACTGAAAGCCATTGAAGAAGAGGTCGCACGACTACTCGCCGCGGGATTGATCCGAGAAGTGAAATACTCGAAGTGGTTGGCCAACGTGGTCTTGGTAAAAAAGTCCTCCGGGGCCTGGCGGATGTGCGTCGACTATACAACGATCAACAAGGTGTGTCCGGGGGATCCTTACCCGCTACCGCGCATTGACCAATTGATTGACGCCACTTCCAACCACGAGACACTGTCTTTCCTATACATGTTCTCAGGATACCACCAAATCCCAATGTCCCACAAAGATGAAGAAAAAACGGCTTTCATGACGCCATTCGGAAACTTTTGCTTTGTCGGGATGTCATTTGGATTGAAGAACGCTGGCGCCACTTACCAAAGAATGATCGACTCGGTGTTCTCACAACATATAGGGAGCAATATCGAGGCATACGTGGTTGACCTCATCGTCAAAACCAAAATGGGCAACTCCCATTTGGAAGACTTGCGCGAGACTTTTGAGGCGCTCTGCAAACACAGCCTCCGCTTAAACCCCTTGAAGTGTGTATTTGGAGCGGAAGCGAGAAAATTTCTGGGATTTATGATCACCAAGTGTGGCATCAAAGTCGACCCGAAGCAGATCACTGTCGTCCAACAGTTGCGGGCGCCGAGGAGCGCAGTAGAGATACAATCCTTGAATGGCAAGATAGCGGCCCTGGGAAGATTCATACCAAGATCAGCCGACAAGTGCGCCCCTTTCTTCAAAACGCTCAAGAGCGGCACACGATTCGCATGGTCCAAGGAATGCGAAGCGGCCTTCCAAGAACTCAAGTCATACCTTGTATCCCCCCTGTACTAACTGCCCCGAAGCTTAATGAAAAACTTTTTCTATAGCTTGCTGTGTCAACAAGAGCTGTGAGCGCGATACTAATATCCAGGAGAGATAACCTGACTTAGCGGCCCGTGTATTACACATCGCGAACTCTGGTTAGCGCGGAAACAAGGTATTCCCGATAGAGAAGGCCGCTCTGGCACTAGTGAGCGCGTCGCAAAAATTACGCCCCTATTTCCAAGCACATTCGATCACCGTCCTGGCCAACCTTCAGCTAAAGAAGATCTTGACCTCAATGGAAGTGTCAGGGAGAATGGTTAAATGGGCGGTCGAGTTGTCAGAGTTCGACATCCAATACGCTCCAAGACCAGCAATAAAAGCGCAGATACTGGCAGATTTCATCGCCAAAGGAGTCACTCTCGATACAACACCAGAAGGAGTATGGGAGGTATACGTGGACGGCGCGGCAAACAAACATGCAGCCGGGGCGGGAGTCGTCGTGTGCACCCTGACAAGCGTCGTCCACGAAATAGCAATATGATTCAGAGCGTTGAAAACAAACAATGCAGCCGAGTACGAGGCCATCTTGGCAGGAATGACGGTGGCCAATGACTTCGACGCTAAAGAGGACACGCTCGCGCAATACATGGAGCGTGTCCTCCAAAGGAACTGTCACATCCTAGTCCTAGGTATAATTATGGCCTAAAGCATGACCTAAACGTCTGACACATGTAGCAGTCATGTCACATTAAATGTGCACCCACCGCAATGTGTCCTATAAATAGAGCATTTACTCCGGTGGGTGGGGGGATCGGATTTTCTGACTCCATCCCTACAAAGTATCAACTTCACTCTCTAAGATCTCTCTCTCTCTCACTTACATCCTCTCATACCTTTATTCTCCAATCGATTCAAGATTCTCATTGCTTGCTCTTCTCACCCCATTTTCCCCGAGTCTCACTCCTACACTCAGTTAGGCTCAAACACTTTGTATTTATAGTTTTGTAATACAAGTTTCATCGGTTTGTATTGTAAGTAGTGGTTCTTTGTAATACTTGTATAGTTTTGTAGTGTTAGTATGTTTTGTAATGTTTGTTCGATTTGTTTTGTAATGTTTGTAAGTTTTGTTATTTTTGTAAGAGCATCTCCAATGGTGCAATTTTAGAGACTTGCAAGCTTATGTGGCAAGGGGTTGCAATTGCAACTCTCAATTGCATTGATGTGAGGTCCAATTGCAAGTGTGCAATTCTTGTTGCAATTTAAAGGGGCCCGCGGGTGGACCCTTTAATATTGTTTATCATATATTTTAAGGGTTAAGAAATTATGGAAATGGTGATGGATGGTTTAGTTATATTAAATTAATGTGTTGGTTCCACCCATTGCAATTGCAATTGAATTTCATTGATGTAGGTAGAATGAAATTCAGAGGTGGTATTTTCTTAAAGTTGTAGAGGTGGAAGTAGGGACCATTGATGAAATTGCAACCTAATATCATTGTTGGAGATGCTCTAATGTGTGTCGGATTCTTTTGTAATGTTTGTAAACTTTGTTATTTTTGTGCAACATGTTTGTAATTTTTGTCAACCATGTTTGTAATGTTTTTTACGTAAAAATTAATATTACAAAACATACAAACTATACAAATCATACTGACATTATGTACAAAAATAATAACAATACAAACTGACAACACTTGTATTACAAATCAGTGTTCTTCCCTCGGACAACAAAATACGATGTCGAGAGATCTGTCGCCGCCGACTCTCTCTCCACCACTTCAACCACCAACTCTTTCTACAGTCGTCGCTACCTCTCTCACTCTCCATCACCGTGCCGCCTCTCTCTCTCCTCCATCGTCGTCGACGCTCTCCCTCTGCCACTGCCTCTCTCTCCTTCACCATCGTCTATCTCTCCTCTGTTTTTACGACGACGACGGCCAGATATACTTTCTCTCTCTCCAACGTTGCTGCCTCCGTCACGATCTCATTTCCCACTCTCCATCATCGCCATCGCCCCCCCCCCCCCTTCCATTGACAACGCAAAAAGGACGGTTGGAAGAACAAAAAAAACATTAATCAATTTTCTCATAATCAATTTCCAATTGCCATATTTAGCTCTGCTTCTTAATTAGTCTCTAAACCCACTTATTCTCTATCATTCTTTACGCATATGGATGGAAAAATAACTTGTCGCGGTGGGTATCAACCAAATTCAAAGGGATGTGGTCGGGGAAATCCAGTCGATATGAATTCTGAGTGGATTTTCTCAAACCAATTCTTTCTCTCTCCCCGCAGCGCACAACTCTCTCTCTCCCCACAACACACAACGGAGGAAAAATAGAAATAGTCTTTTATTATTTTTTTTAATTATAATTATAAAAAGTGTATTATTACTTTGTTGTCCTTCATTAAAATGAGTGAATTAGAGCTACAGGATTTAAATGAGATTGGGTGGCTGTGATTGACTTAGTCATGTGACTCATGCCCCTCTTAGTCACCTGATCTTAGCCCGTATGGGTATGGCTAACGACTTACAGAGCATTTCTTTTTGTCATTTTTCCCCATCTCCATCAGAACATTTCAGAATACCTTAGTACAAGAGAAAAGATCTCACAAAAGGAAAGGTACAAACCAATCTCATTTGAGAAAAAGAAGTAGTGTTCCCCCCACTGAAACTTTGGCTCCAAGCACAAGTGTAGATCCCTCCAAAGGGTTACTGTTGAGCAGCCAATAAGTCAAGACGTAAAACTCCAAGGCAATGCGTGACTTCACCATCTTCTTGATTGAAATGGTCTCCCCTCCTCCACTTCCAGTGACTCAATCTCAGCTCAAAAAATCAGTACATGAACTAGACAAAATCAGCTTCACTTATTGACTACCACAACAAACAAGAGGAAAAAGTTAAGGTTGTCAGTTCATTTGGAAAGTAATAAGTTGGTATGGACGATGGATTGTTGAAATCCTTGTCGATAATGGAAGAATTTTGTAAGTGTATAGAGAAGTGACTTTCTGGTGTGATTGTTTTACCCAAATTTAATTAAATAGCATTACAAGTTAAAAGTCTCTTCTCAAATGAGGTTAAAAACCTAGCAAAGGCGACGACTGATTATACTAACAGGAGCAAGTTATTTACAGTGGCCAAACCTAAAATGAGAGATTACAAGAAAGTAGTTGCAGAAAAGCTTCCTATTCTAAAGTCTCATCTGGTGAAGGATCTAACATTCAAATGCTTAAACAAAAGGCTTCATATCTGTAGTCAAAAATTGAATCATCCATAACAAAAACAACTAGGAAACTTCTTTTCCCACCTTTTTGATAAGTGTTGTGTGTGAAGTATTACCTCATTTAGAATCGACAAACTCAGCTAGGACTTCTGCAGTACGGTCACCATAATACTTGCACTTCCTCATCAGAATCCATTTGGGACTTGCTGTGCCATTTCAAATGCGGTACAACACATCAAAGGTATCAACCAAAAAAGGAGGGGGGGGGCATGAATTCTAGAACATCCCTATATATAACCTGTAAGTAGCTAAATATAAAAAATGTAATGTTGCAGTGTAGTGGTTATGAGATGTATTTGTTAGATCAATTCCCACAAGAAGTAGATGGGTTCGATCCTCCACCTTTGCACAAGTTTTTTAGCTGATTTGGAACACTACAACTACGTGTTATTAAACTGAATCATGTGCATACAACCATTCAATTTACATGTGCATAAAACCATTCAATTTATAGAGTTTTTGTGCTATTAAACAAGAAATATTTCAATTGTTTTTCATGCATTTAGATTACATATTTGTAAGGATCGATCTATTAAACAAGAAATATTTCAATTGTTTTTTATGCATTTAGATTACATATTTGTAAGGATCGATCTGTCCTACCCGGACCTTATGATAAATTATCTGACCTACCACAAAACGAGTATGGATATCGACATATCCGTCCCGACCTGCCCCATTGCCATTTCTAATTCAATTTACAGAATTTCTTGTGCTATTAAACTAAAACAATTTAATTGTGAAAGTGGTAATAATATGATATATGGTAAAATTAATTTTTTTAATTAAAAATAATAATAATTAAATTCAACAAGGTTTTTGATGAAGTCTTTTTTCTAATTTGGACGCAACATTAAGTAGCTTTAGTATCAAAGAGCACATTGACAATTATATAGTTTTTCTAAGTATTATTCCAAACGGTTAAAAAAAAATTATGCCCCCTCTAACCGTGAATCCTGGCTCCGTTCCTGATGCATGGATTTTAAGGTCTAAGGATTCTTTTGGAAATTATTTGATTGCTGGGTATCCGGGAACGCCGAATTTGGTGCAAGAACCCTTGCAAGAAGAAATCAAAAGCTTTTTAATGGAAAGCCGATAAGTTTATATGAAACCTTGGCCATCATCAACCGATTTGGTTCTCTTGAAGCTTGCACCTAGCTTTTTACAGAACAACATGAGGGATGGATTTGAAACAAATGAAATGTTTAGGCACTAAATTGAAAGTATTTTGCAGAAATGGGGAAAACCTGGAAAAATGCTATAAAATATAAGGGGTATCCGGGAACACCGAATTTGGTGCAAGAACCCTTGCAAGAAGAAATCAAAAGCTTTTTAATGGAAAGCCGATCAGTTTATATGAAACCTTGGCCATCAGCAACCGATTTGGTTTTCTTGAAGCTTACACCTAGCTTTTTACAAAACAACATGAGGGATGGATTTGAAACAAATGAAATGTTTAGACACTAAATTGAAAGTATTTTGCAGAAATGGGGAAAACACGAAAAAGTGCTAAAAATTGTAAGGGGTGTTGCGAGAATCGAACTCACGACCTCTCGCACCCGAAGCGAGAATCATACCACTAGACCAAACACCCACATTGTTGCCTTTTTCACCAGACTTTACATATTTAGAGAGTAACTTTTGAATTTTCTTTTTCTCTACTTTCTCGCTCGAATTCCGAGAACCAGGTGGAAAATCTGTCTCTTTCTAGGGTTTAGAAATCTAGTTCCCGGTTTTGGAATCGAATTCGGTCATCTGAGTTCTTTCCCGCACTGAGTTCCCAGCTCGCAATCTTTCACTACAATGGCTGCTGTGAGTTTTCAATTTTCCCGGAAAAGGTCATTCCTTTATCTTTTGTTACAGCATTGCTTTGCTTCTCAATGTCTTCGTTTTGAACCGCAGCCTGCTGGAGTTGACAACACGTTCAGGAAGAAGTTCGATCGAGAAGAGTACTTAGAACGAGCTCGCGAGCGGGAAAAGCAGGTATATTTTCCCCCCGGTAATTGAAAGTGGTATATATGTTCCAATTTCTGCTTTCCACCTGATTGTGCTGCCCTTTTCCTGTTGTTTCAGGAGGATGAAGGGCGATCAAAGTCTAAATGTGAGTTGGGTTTTGCTTTTATTACTCGCTTAATTTGCGGCGATGAAAATCCTGTCTTGTTTAATTGGTGAAACTTGATGGTTATGTTGCAGCAAAAGGTCCTCCTGTGCAGAGGAAGCCCCTAAAGCACAGAGATTATCATGTTGACCTTGAATCTCGGTTGGGGAAGACTCAGGTTAGTTACTTTTCTCACTCTATGTCAAACTTCTCTACCAATTGATTAGAATTTGGTTGTATAAGCTGGCACTAAGCTAAGTGGGCATCAGTTTTGAGAACATAGTGATCTTTGTCAGAAATCATTAAGGGCTTCGAATGAGTTACTTTATTGCAATCTTATGCTGTGTGGCAGCATGGAAATGCCTGACTGCCTGAGATCACAACATGTTATGGTATCCTAGGAATGAATCAATTAAGATTCGTGGATTGTTCTGTAGCGATGCCTGAGATTTTGGGTTGCTCCTAAATCCTAATACTAATCTGACATTTTTTTTGTTTGGATAAGTTGCTCTGGTATGTTAACTTTGATCTTCACTCATTTGTAATTCTTTCTGCTGTTCATTTGTTCTGGCAGGTTGTTACTCCAATTGCACCTCTAAGTCAGCAGGTATGTCCTTCACAGTAGCCATCTGTGTATATTCTTGTGATTCTGCATGTGAAATAGAGTTATGCATAGGTTTCGAATATGGATAGAATCGAACTGTTACCTGTTAATTTGCATAGTTAAAAGTTTCCTTGTCGGGTGGGTATGGATTGTGGATCCAAATATCCAATATAACCTGCAGATGGTTGGTTTCCTTGGAGTTAAATTTTCTTGTGGCTTCTAATTACTGCTTGATATTAGCAAATATGGAAGTTGATGGGCTTCTTCTATGTCATATGCTGAGTCTACAAATCATTTTTCCTTTCTCTCTTGCCGAAGGCTGATAGAATTCATTGTTGTTCTGTCATATTCTATGTTTCTCATATGACAATTCTAATTCCGTATTTGGATGCAGGCTGGATACTACTGTTCGGTTTGTGAGTGTGTAGTGAAGGATTCTGCTAACTACTTGGACCATATAAATGGCAAGAAACGTACGTATTCATCCATCCCCCAAAAAAGTTTCCCACGTTAAGCCTGCTTGTTAATGTGCTTTGCTGATTGTTGTAATTGCATTAGCAATATCTTACGTGTAGATCAAAGGGCTTTGGGCATGTCTATGCGGGTGGAAAGAGCTTCCCTTCAACAGGTAGAGAAGTTTATATGCATTTGTCAGCATCGTGCTTAGTTTCTGAAATAGTTTTGAGTAGTGAAGCTCTAATCTAATCACGTTTCCAGGTCCAAGAACGATTCGAAATGCTCAAGAAACGGAAGGATCCCACCACGTTCTCTGAACAAGGTAAGAAGCAGATAAGTAATTGTTTAGCTCCTTATTACTGTTTGTATACTGAGTCGTGGGAATTGAACATTCTATTTCCATTTAGATCTCGATGAGCGGCTCCTGAAACAGCAGCAAGAGGAGGAAGAACGGAAGAGACAGCGACGAGAAAGAAAGAAAGAGAAAAAGGTTGGTCAAATGAAGTATAATGGTGACTATAACATGGCGTTTGCCTGTGTACTTTGGCTATTGATATTGTACCCGTCTTTGGTGCAGAAAGAGAAGGCGGCAGAGGAGCAAGAAGATATTGATCCTGATGTTGCTGCTATGATGGGATTTGGTGGTTTTGGTTCATCGAAGAAATAGAGGCATGGAGCCCTCTGCAAAGGATTATGTGTGTATAGGTAAATCTTCAGACGAATGCTATCATCAAAGATATATGGTAGTTCTGCGGAGGAGCATATCTGAAGAGTTTTTCGATGCCTGCCTGATTTCCTTGGGGAAAATTTGTACAAATTTCAAGCGCTTCCAGCGCTATAAATCTTGATGATGCCATTTCATGACTCTTTGATGATGCGCCATTCCATGAGTTTTCGACTCGCTTTTCTTTCGTTACCCTTGGTTAACGGAGAAAGAAAACCTCAGAATTAGGGGTGTGCAACGATATGGTATCCAACCAAACAGAGCATATAGCCTTGAAGCTTGCATTTAGCCGATTCATTAACCATATTATTCTGTTGGGCAGAAATATAGTGATTCTGATCCATGCAGAACTTAGGTCCGATCATGGCATACGCCGTTGAGTTTTGTACAAAATTGAACAGTTGCACATCCTAGTCAGGACTCGGGATGAAAACTAGCCGAAATTTGTTCCTCGGATCTGGCGGGGATTCAGGTTCAGTCTGAGCTTGAATTTTTTTGTATTCGGTCCGAACTATTTCGATTAGCTGTGTTTATATTTCCTTGTTATGCAAGGAATTCATTGAATCCGAAACTGACGAAAAAAATTATGTCACCCCAATCCAACTTCATCAAATCAATGTTTGAGCATTTGTCATGCAGGATGCAGGGAAGTATAGAAACAGAGGACTATTTTATTCCATAACCGATGAAGGTTGCTGCTTTTCTTACTCAAAACAAAAACGGACAACTGCCCTTATAACAAATAAACTGAACATGCCATCTTAAGAACATCCATAAGGCCATGCTCCTCCAGCTTCACTCCGGAGTGTTAGTACTTGAGGAGATACCACAGAGGAGCAGAATCTCCGAAATCGAAACGAGGTGCCGCTGCTGCATTCCTCGAGGTCGCAAAAGGCGACCTGGTGTATTTGGGCAGGGAGCGCCTCAGCAGGGGAGAAGGAGGCTTGCCAGCAATAGCACCACCAGCTTCAGCTTTCAATGCCACATTCTTTGAGGACACAGTAGTGGGCTGCATCTTCTTCTCAGGAGTCTCTGTTGGTTCCTTAGTCTTAGGAGTCGCAGTAGCATATCCTCTTCCAGAACCTGAGCTCATCTTCCTTGCTGTTGGTAAGTACCAAAACTGAGTGGGGGAAAAGGGGGAGTCTTAAGTTCTTCTGATGAAGATTTGAAGTTTTGGCTGGTCGGTTGAATATTTATAGAGGCTAAATAGTTCATTGGGGTTCTTCATTTCATTAAATGGGTTTCGTGTCTTTTTATTTTCTGAATCAGACTGTTCACAAAGGTTCACTGTATTTGCTGCAGGTTTTCCTGAGAGTCTAATTTGTGACGCATCAAATTCTGAGAAGAAAACTTAATGGAGAGAAGTATAGTTTCTCGAGAAATCAACGGTCTTCTCTGTCACTGTGAGTGTTTCTTGCAAGGTTGTCAAACCGGTTTATATTGTTGTGCCGGTTTGACAAGTGAAATGGTACGACTGGTAATATAATCAGTTATATCTTTAATAGATCATCATAGATGCCTTTCTTATAAACAAAAACTCACATGCAAAAGAACATAACGTCGGGCCTAAATTCAATCCTAGAAGGCTCTTACAAACTTTCTTTCCGAGGTGGCGGGACACACTCTCTTTCACGTTTACTGAATTCCCATCAATCCCAAACCATGATGACAACACATCAAAAGTTCCAATGAACATCCATTTGGTTCAAAACTCAATTTAAACCTTTGAAATCACTTTTAAGACCAAAATTTATCCCCGAGGTATCATATTCCCACTCTGATACCACAAATGTGACACCCTATGTAAATTTCGATTCTTCTTATCTAAAAATCGATATTAAAATTTGGAAGCTAGGTTGAAACATGCAAGTTAGTAAAATGAAACACATTTTCTTACAAATCATATCAAAATCGGTAGAAACTCATGAAACTCTTGAAAGCATTTCTTAATCGAGATTGAACAACACAAATATTAATGAAACTCAAAAATATTATTTGCATCATCAACTCTTGAGAATAGCTGAAGCTGCTGTTAATAATTATGTGATTAAAACATTTAACGGTAAGCGTAGTTTAGACAACATTAAGATTTCCACTTGAGTACCTTATTTATGTGAAACACGTACGTGAGAGTCCTGCCTCGTCGCCCACCTCTCAGCCATTTGGGTGCCTTCACTAGTTCTTATATATAAAGATGAAGTTATGTTACTGTTGCCTAACAATTTACCATTTGATACAACAAATTTAATTAATCACAATTTAGTCACTATAATGTAAATTTTACGTTTTGCTACCCCAAATTAAATTTAAATATAAAATTATTGAACCATTATGTTTTGGTATCTAATTTTATGAGATTTTCGTACCTACAATTTTTTAAATTTACATATTGGCCCAATATTTAGGTTTCACTTGAATCCATGAATCCAATCCATTAATCCTTTCGAACCAATCCATGAATCCAATCCACCATAACATAAAAGTATAAATTTAGTTTGTACAATACAAGATATTGTATCACTCAACCGTTGGAGAAGATTCAACCATTTTATATTTGCTCATTAAGTGAAGCATTAAATAAGTAATAAAAGAGATACGACTCTAAAATATTGCAAGAGCGAATTTATAAACTCATTTAGTAGCTGATGTTAGGTTACTATTGCCTAACAATTTACCATTTGATACCCTAAGTTTAATTAAATCACGACTTATTCACTATAATATAAATTTTACATTTTGATACCCCAAATTTAATTTAAATATACACTTATTGAACAATTATGTTTTGGTATCTAATTTTTATGAGATTTTCGTACCTATAATTTTTTAAATTTACATATTGGCCCAATAGTTAGATTTCACTTGAATCAATGAAACCAAATAAAATCCACTAATCCTTTTGAATCAATCCATGAATCCAATCCACCATAACATAAAAGTATAAATTTAGTTTGTACAATACAAAATGTTGTATCACTCAACTGTAGGAGAAGATTCGACCATTTTATATTTGCTCATTCCGTGAAACATTAAATAAATTATAAAAGAGATACGATTCTAAAATATTGGAAGAGCGAATTTCTAAACTCATTTAGTACGTTTATGGGGTACTAAACAAACTTATAATAACTACATGTAACAAAATAGGCAAGAGTTTATAAATTGCTACGGTGAAAAGGGTTGATTGTTGTATTGATGGCCAACTAAAAGAATTGGTCAAAACCTTTCCATCATCTACTTTCTTTTCGTTTCATTTTCATCCGTCTTTCATACCCATTTCTTTATTTATTTCTTTGCCTTCTTCGTCTAACCCTAATTAGTATACTATTTTCATATATTCTAATCACAAGTATGAACGAGTTCATACAAGACTCACCAACAATCTAGAGTACTAATAATTGAACTATGAACCACTAACTTTTTTAGCCCAATGTCGAGCCCAATTAATAGTAAATATATATGGTTATTACTTATTAGAAAGTCGTCATTTTCCACTATATGATTTGATATGTGTAGATATCTAGCTAAACATTCCATGTATATTTGTTGAAATCTCTAGCCCGGGTGAAAAAGAAAAACTCTAGAGAGAAGCAAAAGGAATATAAACTTCCATCTACGAACTTCCAAACCCATATATACGCCACCCCTACCCTGCCCATAATCAACGTGTCTACTTGAATTTAGGTAAACATCATTTACTAGCCAAAATTTTAAAAAAAAATTAAATTGGATGTTGACCGCCATATATCTCTTCTCAATCCATATCATATTGTCAAATCAATAAAACTAACAAAACTGCTAATGAAAAGTTAATTTTAGACTAATAATACTAACAATACACCATAACGGGCACATAATAAATACCTATAGGCCATCTCCGTCCGCGACAAGGCGCGGTATCGCCTCCTAGTATGATTGATAATCGATGTACATTGTTGACTCTTGAGGGGAATTTTTTGAAGGGATGATACGTCACTCAATGAGTGAGTTCTAACCTAACAAATATCTAAGCTCAACATTAGTATTATTGGACCATAATATATGGCTTCGTTTAGCTTTATTGCAACTATATCGACAATCACCAACAAAGTTTCTCAAAATGACAAGCCGTGTAAATTGAACTAATAATAGTTCACTCAATAAAAAGACATTTGCATTACCTAGAACAAAATCCTTACACGACATACATTTCAAAGCTTAAGGTTGGGTGGAAGATAGAAGAATGAAAAGGGCATCGCACTCACTTTCTTATTAGTGATACGAAGTTGCGTGGGACTGAATATGGGGACTACTTTTGCCCTGTTTCACCTTATTATATATATGTATTCGTTCTCTCTCGAGTTATCTTAATATCTGATTATTTCTTTCATTTTGACTTTTGTAGTCATATTTTCATCTTGTGATATTTTAAATAAGTGTAAAACTTTAGTCTTCAACCTGTTTGGACTCAACTAATCTTTCTATTATTCTGTTTTTCATTCTCTAGACTATTTTTCAATGTCTTATCATTAAAAATAAACGTTTTTTTCTAGTAACATATAACAATGGGCCGATCTAGCCCAACTAGAACCACGCGAACATTATCCGACTTGATCAGTGCTTGGTGCGGGCGTGTATGGGTTTTGAGGTATCCATCTAGCCCTGCCCCATTATCGTAAATGCCCCTCAATCTAAGGTTCTTCCTTAATTTTGATATACATGCTAACTTGGAAGCATGAAGTTTTGACACACCAAGTGCATGCGGTTGATTAGGGCCCAATTGCACATATTTTGTCCCCGGTTTGCTTAGATATTTGTGCCAAATTCGCTCATTAGAGGTTGGTTTTACGTGAGGTTCTACGTGTTTGAGTGCTTTTCAGGATTTAACAAGTCGAACCAACCTCGGAGTCGAAGGATTGGCGAAAAGGATCGAAAACCGGGAGAAGAGGTGAAAAAACGCAAGTTCACGGCTAAATGCAGGAGTTCACACTCGTGCAAGACCGTGAAGAAGTGGAGTTGACCGTGAAGCGCAAGGCGTCCAGAGCCAAGTTGAAGGTTACTGATGCAAGGCGAGTTCACGATCACTAAGACCGTGAACACAAGCAGTTGCCCGTGAACTGCCGTGATCGATGCAGAGCGTTTTGGTGCAAGGCGTGAGTTCACGGACGCGTTTGAGAGTTCACGGTCGTGAACTCCGGCCGTGAACTCAGCTCCTCTCGTGTTTAAAAGCTGAGTTGCAAGGAAGAGAAGGGAGAGATCCACTTTTTGTGAGAGAAATACTTCTTCTGCATTTTAGAGAGAGAACCAGAACCAAGAGAGAAGAAGGAGTTAGGGTTTGGCTTCAAAGGAGGTTTTGAGAAGATTTCCCCAAGGAAATCCCAGCTCAAGGTTGAAGAAGAGAGGAGGCATTCCCACAAGATGGTTTCCACCTTTTTCTCCTTTGTTCTTCCCACTTCTTCCATGGAGTAGTCCTCCTCCCACTTGGGTGTAGTGGAACCCTAAACCCTACTATGTAGTTTTCTTGTATGTGGTTTGAATGATTGATATTGGGCATTGTTCAATTGAATGTTTGAGGTATTTTTCACCATGATTTTGCATTCTTATGCTTAGCAACTTAGGGGTTGTGCATATTTTGTGCTTAGCATCCTAGGGCTATGCATATTTTGTGCTTAGCATCCTAGGGTTGTGCATAATTGTGCTTAGCACGCCTAAGTTTGTGCATTTAGGTGCTAGAAATCTAATTCGCCAACTTAGCCTAGTTTAGAAAAGAAAATCCTCCTTTTTAATGGAGACTCAATCGAGTTGGTTTTTCTTCCGCTTTTCAAGCCACCTAAACTAGGTTGAGTTAGGGCAATCCTCAATGTTGAATTGAACAAGTCGATTAATCGTGGTTAAACCGTCCGACCTTAGAGTTGAGTGAGGAAGTAAGCCGATTACCGATTGTCTAAACCGAGAGGGTCGAGTGACACGACCTTTCATCCTCACCTCGGCTTAGCATTCGAGACTGTGGTCCCCGACCACATACGCTTTCCTCTGCGGTTCACGATTAGCGTGTCCAAGACAATCGTTCCAACCCACGTAACATGGTAGCGGTTTTAGGGGGAAGCGAAACCCAAGTGACTTTCCCACAAAAAGAGTTTCAACCCAAATTACTTTTGCTTTCTTTCATTTCAATTGGAAACCTTTAAACCAAAGTTTTATCGCTAGATAATGATTTCAACAACCGAAGTAGGGGTAGACGGACCCGCCCGGGTCGATATATAGATAATTAGATACTTGCCCTATACTACACCCGATTAGAGTTTAAAAACTTGGGCCCTAATTGAGTTTAATTGTAGTGTAGATTCGAGCGAGTCAACGGTAAGGGTTTAAAAAAATTAAAACTAAAATAATATGTAGGAAGGATGAACACAATTCTAAAATAATATCATGATGATCCAATACAAAATATGGTAGAATTTGCTATTTTTTTTTCTATAGAAAAAATTAATAACATGAAGAAGTTGGCTAATTTGTAAGGAGAAATTTGGGCAATTTATTAGAGGAAATATACAAATTACGAAATAATGTTTTATGGAAATTTTATTATAAATTTTGACAATGAAGTAAACATCCCATTGTAAATGAATAGTAAATAAAATCCTTCACCATTTCAAATGATTTTCTATAGAAAAAATCCTTTCCTTAATATATGCGTAGCCAGTCACACAGAACATTCTAACCTGTAATAGTAAACATTATTTTCTAACATTGAAGTAATATTAAAAAAATCCCGTTATTCTACCAAAAAAAAATCCCATTATCCAAATCTTATTCATTGCTGTACCATTAATTTACTATACTATAGTTTTAAGGACGACAAATAAGTTGAGCTAAATCGAGTTTGACCTAACATGATTTTGAAAATTAGAACAAGGTCAACCAGACAAGTGTGGAGACTGGAGATAAAAATCACATTGAGAAATCCCTTTTCATGGTTTCGAAACCAAGGTATGCATTTTGGGATCTAACCCCCCAAACATACATCTTGATCTAAGAAAATAAATGTACCAATGATTTCATACTACAATTTATTCATGTAATAGATCTTCCAATACAACTCATAATTTTTTTTAGAATGACGAAGACAATAAATACGTTCAAAACTATGCCCCACATACTTGAATATGTGACTAAACCATGATCACTCATGATTTTAGCTTACCTACAACTATATCGACAATTGCCAACGAAATTTCTCTAAACGACAATGAATCATAAATAGTTCATTAGATTAAAAAAACGTACATTTGCATGAGCCGAAACAAAATCTTTGCACGACATATATTTTAAAACTCAAGGTTGACCGGAAGATATAGTTGTAATGAAGCATGAGCAAGTCTAATCACCCACTACCCTACACATAACCAACCGATAAAGTATACAAACAACAAGTGCCCAAGAAGAACAACAAGACCTATTCATCCAAACCAAAGAGAAAAAAGATGTATAAAAGAAAGAAAGAGCAACAAGACTTGATCACAATCTCGAGACTACGAATCTATAGCGTTGTACTACTTCTTAGCGCCTTCTTCTCTTCCTCCTCGCCGATTAATGGTCTCATTCACATTGTAATTTGTTGTTTTCCTGATACAATGCATGTTGATCAAATGATCCATACCCACCATTACAACACTTTCATTTTTCGTTTCCTGTTTCTTGTTTTCACGTTATAAATTTGACAACTGAAACAAGAAAACTTGTTTACCTTTTCATTCTGTTCACTATTAGTTTTCCAATTAAGAAAATAAAAAGTGGCAAATTACCGCCGTTTTTGAAAACGAAAGAAATGTTGTTTTCACCTGTTTTTCAACATCTATTCTTAAAAAAACAAACAGGAAACAGAAATGAAAGTATTAGGGTTTTGATCACAATACCTCAAAATGAGCCTTCGATCATATTTTTTTTTTTCCTACACTCTTTTCTACTCCCTCTGCTCTGCGCCTTTGTCACCGTCTCTCTCCTCCTCCTCCTCCTCCTCATCGGTCTCCCGGTTCCCACCACCACCGCCGTCTTTCTTAGCCGTCGCCTCCTCGAGCGCGCGCCTGTTCATCTCAAGTATCCGAACCCGTTTCGGGTCCGTCACATCGACCTCATCACCATCATCATCATCGTTGATCATCGGCATATAAGGAACGTTGAGGTCAATACCAAGCCCTAGCCTCGGTTCCTGTTGCGGCCACCGTTGCGAATTGTCCGGAACCGACGAAGACGACGCCGTCCAATCTGGGCCCACGGGCGGAGGGAACGCGCCGCGGAAGGGCCTGCCCGCATGCACTCTCAGGTGCCCGAACACCGCCTTCCAATTGCCGAATTTCTTCCCGCACTCGTGACACGTCGGATCCCTTGACGGCACGTCGAGGATGTCCCTGCTCTTTCTTTTGCCCTTTGGCGGCGGCGGCGGCTGCAGCGGTTGGCTGAACGCGGCCTGCAGCGCGGCCGCCGCCCTAGCCACTGCCTCGGCCGAAGGAGGAGGGTGGGGTACTGTTGTGGTTATTACAGCCGCCGCCACCTCCGATGCGGCTGTCTCCTCCACTGGGGATGTCTGTTCGTCGGCGTGATCTCCTCCTTTGTTTACTTCATCTTCTGTCGGCGGCGGCGGCATTTTTTTTTTTTTTTTGTGTGTGGTTCTTTCAAAGGGAGCAGTTTCTTGAATCTTGAGACGGAGAATAATTAACACTCCTAAAAGTGATGATCTATTCTGATATGTTCTGCGTGCGTGTGTTTTTTTTTTTCTTTTTCATATGGATGCAATGTATCTGGCAATGGTTCAAAACCTCAACAGTCGCGTTGTTTGGATAATTTGGCTTGTGGTGGTAAAATATCGCGGTAAAAAAAAAAAAAAAATTTGGCGCGGTTAGTGAAAGATGAGTTTCTCGACAAGACAATCGGATTCTATTGTTTCCGTGAGTGATATTTTATGTATGGCGAATTTACGTGAAATTGTTTTTATTAACTTTAGGGGTTTGTAGCATTAATTTGTAAGCCGCTTTAATTTAGTGAATACGAGGTTTTGTACCACGAATTTTAACAATTGAGTTCGTACTTTTTCAAGTAATTTTATTCAGATTTTAAGTAGTTTCTATGTATGTTAAAAATGTTATCAAAACTCATCGTTAACTAGGTCGAATCGTCGCGCATAACAAGAAAGATGACTTCTCTCGCTTACTTTTCGCTCTCAACCCTTCCCTTTGAGTCCCGGCGAATTCTTTGTGGATTTTCCTGCACTTACAAAATACAGCCTCTCTCAGTGTATCAGATTCACTCCTCCAATTTAAACCGAAGAGAGGCACGGCAGAAAGTAAAAAGAGTGAGATGATAGTGGGGAAACTTATCTCTGAAAAGAATTTCAATGTTGGAGGGATATTGGTTCTTACTTCTTACTCTGGGAAGATACTGGAGAGATGTGATCCAACCTTCAGTGGCATATATCGACCCGAAGGAAGACAAAGAAAAGATTTGAGAGGCAAGAACTTGGGAAGATTGATGATGCCTTTTTTGTTCTCAAAAGAGTGGAGCGAGCGAGTAGGAGAAGGTGAGGATTGAGGAAATTTATTTAAACAGATGCTGAATTTGGGTAGAGATCCGTGATTTCATGAGTGACCTAAGATCAGAGGAAAATGTGGCTCTTTCACTAAGCAAGATTTTCAAGGAGTTGATTAGAGGAAATGAAGCAGGTGTGGTTAAAAGAATCTATATGACCTTCATAAAAGTTTTGGTGGTGATAGACCTGCCAAAACCCCTCCCCCTAGGGGTGTCGGTTCGGGTCAGGTTCGGTTACCCAAACCGAAACCCGAAATCGAAAACCACTAAAACCGAACCCGAAACCCGAAAATTCCTTATCGTGTTCGGGTTCGGTTAAAGCAAAACCGAAACCCGAAAACCCGAACGCCTAAGAATACAGGGTGAGTTCTATTCATTGGAGGTTTTTAGACGAAACCCGAAAAACCGATAAGCAAAACCGAACCCGAAACCGAAAAACCCAAAATTCGAAACGAACCCGAAAATCCAAAAATGTATATAATCGGATCGGTTTCAGATAAACCCGAAAAACCGAATCCGAATGGACACCCCTACCTCCCCCTAGGATTTTACATTGAAGTTGAGGAAGGGTAAGAGTTATGGGTGGAGTTCAAATACAAAAGACTACCATCCAACTTCTGCTATTGTTGCACAAGGATTGGACACACCCAATTGCTCTAGAAGAAATCAGAAAACTTCATAGAAGGCCGTTATGGTGATTTTGGATGGCAATTATCCACTCAGATAATTATACTCAAACCCAAATAGACCCATTGATAATGGGTTGGGTATGGGTGAAGTGCATATGGGTTTGGGGGTTGTAGATGGGTTTGGGTAAAATATGAATATTGTTTCCATAATCTAAATGAGTATGGGTTGGATATGGATATCAATTTACTCGAGGGTGTTTTAACTACACATACAAAAATTGGACTTAATTGTAAAACTTGAAAAGTTTAGGTACCAAATTGTAAGACCAAAAAAATTTAGGTACTAAAATGTAATTTTTAATCGATATATTGAGGACTTATATGCAAAAAAATTAAATTTAGGGGCTAAATATGCATTTCTATTAAGTTTAGGTATCAAACTGTAATTTGCATTTGGGCATGGGTACAAATCCAAATCCATTTGTTAAAAACCCAACTCAACTCAAGTAAATATGTATCGATACAAATCCATCAAACTCTACTCATATCCATCTATTTGGATTTTATACCCAACCCAATTAGTTTGGATATTAAAATACACATAGGTATGAACAAAAATACCATCACAAATGTTGAATAAACGAGAGTTGGTTCCTATTCCCAACATCTATATCTATCTATCTATCTGTATCTATTTATCTATCTATCTATCTATCTATCTATCTATTATGGCAATTAAAAAGTAACTTCTTGCCACATAAGCACTTGGAGAATTCACAAGTTGCCAATGTGGACAATTTTTTTGCAAACAAAAAAAATATAATTATTGATCTATTTATGATGCTATCTCTCTCTTCTTTTAATACTTCTACTCATGTTTACTAAACATTAGTAATAAGTTACATATTGATGAAAATGTAAGGAAACACACATAAGCAATAATATTTATGTCAATTAAAAAAATATAAAATGAAAACCGTGAGTGACATATATTGCATTTGTTAAAATCAAAAAATATATTATATCTTATCAAGTAAATTTTCTACCCATTTCCCTAAAACCTAAATAATAATTTCATTTTGATGAACAAGTAAAGAAGTACACACACAAATAATATTTTTTTATCGATTAAATAAAATATAGCGATAAAAAGAGAGAAAACAAGCGTTTGACAATCAATCGACTTTGATAATGACTTGACTGCCAAGGTAGTACTCCCGTCCCACCCAAGATTTTCTCGGATGAAGCAACTAAATTGGGTCTTACGTGGGTGATAACGATGTAATTGCACGTATTTGCACCCCTAGTTCTTATCCGTTTGAGGGGCATAGTCGTGTATTTTTGGCCTATTTTACGCAGGGTTGTGCTACTTTGTCATATTTCAGGTCCCAGGTGTCAAAGGAAAGGCTAAGTTCGAGTTTCGGGGCATTCGGAAGTCATTCGGTGGAGCTGGAGCCAAAACACGGGCACACCTAAATCAGAACACAGCCGTGTTCCTAGGCCGTGCTTTTACTGCCGAGAGATGATTTGAGTTTGGAAAACACGAGCTGAAAACACGGGCGGGCTGGAGCAAAGCACGGCCGTGCCCTCGACCGTGCTTTGCCCAGTGATGCCCTTTTAAGCAGATTTCAGCCAAAAGAGAAGGGGATTCGAGTTTTAGAGAGACAGAGCGATTTACCATCCAACAGTCTTAATTTGGAAGAAATTAAGAAAAGAACAGAAAGAAGAGCGAGCAGTTGCCAGCTTAAGATCAAAGAGGAAGAGGGAGCAGTCGACAATCCTCGGTTTGGTTCACCTCGTCTTCGCAATTATAGGATGAACTGTTTTCATCAATAGGCAAAAATATGCTACAATTGCTCAAAATTTTTTTTATCTAATCACTGCCTTGTGTAACTCCCTCCTCCAACTCTCCTAAAAAAACACTTCATATGCATTACCATTTCTTTCTCTATCTAATTTCTTATTTTCAATGTTGGATTTTATTTCTAGAGAGATAATCAAAATGGGAAAAGGGTAGAGATAAATTAAAAGGTTGCATTCATAATTAATATGTTTCATTTAATCGGAATGAATAAGAAGTGTTTTAAAAAAATAATAATTATTGCTCTGTCAAGTTTATCTTCAAACCTTTTTCTATAAAAATGTTACTTGTTTTATTTTATAAGTATATGCATCAGGAAGAAGTGAGTGTTTGATAGCAAAAAATATATGATGACATAGTTTATTTTTCAAACTCGATTGATTGTCAAACACTTATTTTCTCTTAGGCCATCGTTTAAACTTTGTTTAATTGAAAAATTATATATGTGTGCACTTCTTTTTTCATCAAAATGTAACTTATTATAAAGTTTTAGTAAAAATCAATAAAAATTGTACGTAATGAGATTTAATAAGATATTTTTGGGTTAAACAAACACGACTTATGTCACTCTATATTTCATCTTTATAGTTTGTTTAATTGAAAAAAAAACATTATTACTTATGTGTGTTTGTTTGTTTAAATGTATCACAAAAAAGTAAATTATTTAAAGTTTTAGTAAAAATGAGTAGAATTATTACAAGAAGAGAGAGATAGCTTCATAAATAGATCAATAAATAAAATTTTGCTTGTAAAAAAATTGTCCACCTTGTCATCTTGTGAATTTACCAAGTGCTTATGTGGCAAGAAGTTACTTTTGAATAGCCATAATATTAAGTATAGATAGATAGATAGATAGATAGACAGACAAGATTTTCTCGGATGAAGCAACTAAATTGGGCCTTACGTGGGTGATAACGATGTAATTGCACGTATTTGCACCCCTAGTTCTTATCCGTTTGAGGGGCATAGTCGTGTATTTTGGCCTATTTTACGCCGGGTTGTGCTACTTTGTCATATTTCAGGTCCCAGGTGTCAAAGGAAAGGCTAAGTTCGAGTTTCGGGGCATTCGGAAGTCATTCGGTGGAGCTGGAGCCAAAACACGGGCACACCTAAATAAGAACACGGCCGTGTTCCTAGGCCGTGCTTTTACTGCCGAGAGCTGATTTGAGTTTGGCAAACACGAGCTGAAAACACGGGCGGGCTAGAGCAAAGCACGGCCGTGCCCTCGACCGTGCTTTGCCCTGTGATGCCTTTTTAAGCAGATTTCAGCCAAAAGAGAAGGGGATTCGAGTTTTAGAGAGACAGAGCGATTCCTAGAGAGAGAAAGCGACGACCAAGAGTTCCCAAGTGCCCTAGCTTGATCTTCATCACCATTGGAGCTTGGCTTGAGCTTGTAGGAGTGCCAATCAACGTCCAGGAGCAGGAATCCATCCTTCACAGTATGAATTCCGCGTTTGATTCTGCTTTTGCTTCTTTCTCCATGGAGTAGTTCTCCCATTCATCTGGGTATGGAGAACCCTAGATTTGTATGTTAGGTTTGATTGTATGAACCCAAGTACTGATTCTATGATTTGATTATATTCAATTGAGGTTTGAATGATTGAATGGCATGAATCCTGATCAAATTCCTGTTGTTTCTGCTTTAACCTAGAATGAGAATATCTGCTTAGGTTGATAGAGCATCCTTGATTGAAGGTAGGGAGTTGGTGACTTTAGTCGAGGAGCCAACTCACTATTCTGTACTGAATTCACTTCGGTAGTGGAGGTTTTGTTGTTAGGGCCTCAATCTGTTTACTCCGGTGGAGGTTAGTCGCCCGCTAGAGACTCAGATTGAGAGGGTCTGAAGACCTTTAGTCGAGACTTCAGGCTGTTTAAGAACCTTCCGCAGTATAACTATCATAGAAACTGAACTTGGTAATTGCAATCCGGCTTACCTGCAGTCTAGGGGGAACCATATCCGGGTGACCTCTCTTAAGCTGAAAATAACAGTTTACTTGCTTTGTTTTGTTAGTTTAGAGTTGCATTAAAGTTTCATTGCTAGATAACAAGAATTCACCGAGTAGTCATCAAATCTAGGACCCGGGTTGACATTTAAACCCAAACCCGCTATACTACACTTTAGGAAGTGGTTTCACTTGGCCAATTCCTAGAGTGACTGTAGAAGTGAGTCAAGTTTTTGGCGCCGTTACCGGGGACGGCTAGGTTGTTGAAGAAAAGTGATTTCTGTTAATTTAGGTTTTCTTTTCGCATTGTTTGATTTGTCCCACTTGTGCCTTCACGGGTTTGTTTGCTTGAGTGTGTGCAGGTAGTGCATGATCCGTAGCCAGTCGGGAGGTTTACTGGCCTTGAATCCAGAGATTGACCGCACCTGTCGCCAACTCAGGAGACAACAGCGAGTTAGACTGGCTACGGAAGAGCGCATAGACGGCCACCTGAGTAGCGATTCTGAGGAAGAGTACGGGATGGACGGAGAATACAATCCACACCAGGGGAATCCTCACCAGGCTCCCCCGGGGAATCAAGTCCTGGGGGACAACCCCATACCCCAGGATCATGGGGCTCATCATCATCCACCGCCGCCGGGTCCCACCTTGGAGTACTACTACACTCCACGGATTGCTGACATCCGCCCGGTCATCCTCTACCCGCCTATTCCAGCAAACAACTTCGAGATCAAGCCATGCTGGATTCAGCTCATTACATCCTCTATCCAGTTCCATGGCTTGAAGGATGAGGAGGCCAGGGTACATCTTTCCCGTTTTCTGCAGCTGACGAACGGGTTCAAGCTGAATGGTGTCCCTGATGATGCAATCCGCCTTCAGCCCTTCCCCCATTCTCTGGCGGGGAATGCTAAGAGGTGGGTGGAGACCCAGCCCCCATTGTCCATCACCTCTTGGGACGATCTGGCTGACAAATTCATGCACAGGTACTATCCGGCATCGAAGACTACAGAGATCCAGCGGGAGATCACTCACTTCTGCCAAGAGCCAGATGAGTCACTTCGTGATGCATGGGAGCGGTACAGGGGATATTTCTGGCAGTGTCCCCATCATGGCTTCAGTAATGCATTCACAGTGGGGAACTTCTACAGTGCTCTCTCTCCGGACAGCCAGAGGGTGATTGAGTCTCTATGCCCAGGAGGGGATATTCTTACTAAGACTCCACCCGAGCTGAACCAGATGATCAATACCTTGGCTGCCAGAGACCATTCTTGGGGGCAGAGCAGCAGAGGCAAACATTCCCGGGACCGTGGTGTGCACGCCATGGAGACCAGATCCGGGCTCGAGCAACAAGTAGCTGAGTTGGTGCAGACATTGAAGCAGCCCAACAGTCTTATTCCGGGCAGAGGTTTGGCCACACCTTCAGTAGCTCAATGTCAGTGGTGTGAGAGCTCAAATCACTTAGTGGAAGACTGCCAGGCTATGAGGGAGTCTACTACTCCCCAAGAGCAGTTGGACTTTATCGCCAATGCTCGGCGCCTCGACCTGTACAGTAATACATATAATGAGGGGTGGCGACAACATCCCAATTTCGCCTGGAGCAGCAACACCACTAAACCACCTGGTTTCCCAGCACCAGCTGGTGGCTTTCAGCAGAGGCAGCCCTTCCAGGCTCGACAGGGGCCAGCCCCACAGCAGCAACCCTACCAGCCTAGGCAGGGGCAACCATTCCAGCAGCCTCAGCGCCAGTTTGCCGAGCCAGCAACAGCTTCAGCCCCAGATGATCGGATGACAAAGCTAGAGAATATTCTAGCTTCATTCATGACTAGCACTCAGGCAACTATCACGAGGTTGGACCAGAGCGTAGCCGCACTGGAGGCAGGTCAGAGGAACCAAGGTGCCATTTTGCAAGATCTGCAGCACCAGGTGGGTATCTTGGCCCACCAAAACACTACCAGGGCACCGGGGACTCTGCCTGCCACCACTATTCCGAATCCTTGTGATCCTCACCAGCATCAGCAGTTGGATGCCATTTTTACCATGAGCGGTAAGACCACTTCTGCTGATCCTGTCCCGGCCAGGCAGGAGGAACCACTACCTGCTTCAGCACTTCCAGCCGACGATGCAGCAGTGCGGGTGGAGAAGGAAGCCCCTGCTCCCAAGCCACAACCAGCGGTTAAGGAGCATGTACCCCAGCTTCCCTTCCCCACTCGCCTACACAAAGACAAGTTGGAGACTGAGTTTGCCAATTTTATGGCAATGTTGAAGCAGCTCAACATCAACATACCGTTTGTGGAGGCACTGTCGAAGATGCCCAAGTACGCGAAGTTCATGAAAGACCTCCTCACCAACAAGAAGAAACTTGGGGATCTCTCGACAGTGTTGCTGAGCGAGGAGTGTTCGGCTATCCTGCAGAACAAGCTGCCCGAAAAGCGCCAGGACCCAGGGAGTTTTACTATCCCTCTTACTATTGGCAGCATGCATGTAGGCAAGTCCTTGGCGGACCTAGGCGCTAGCATAAACGTCATGCCATATAAGTTGTATAAAAAGCTAGACCTAGGTGAACTTAGTCCTACTAGGATGAGCATTCAGCTAGCTGATCGTTCCATTGTGCATCCTAGGGGCATCATAGAGGATCTGCTAGTTAATGTAGGTGCATTCACATATCATGTTGATTTTGTTATTCTTGATATACATGAGGATGTGGATGTGCCTTTGATTCTGGGTAGACCATTTCTTGCCACCGCCAAGGCACTTATTGATGTGCATGATGGTAAACTGATCCTGCGTGCTGGGAATGAACAGGCTACTTTTTCTGTGACTGAATTTGATCACTGTGCTATGATTGCTGTCACACCTGTGCATGCCATTTCTGATCAGGTACACGAGCCTGTTGTGTATCCTTCTGCACCTATCATTTTGCAGGACCCTCCTATCATTCCTTCGCCGCCACCCCATCTAGTCTCGCCTCCGAACAAAAAGATCAAGGAGGAGTGGCAGCCGAAGCAGCAGGTTGCTAAGCCTGCACGGAAGAAGGGTGGAGACCACTATGAGCTGGTTCCACCCTTTGCACCACGACCACCCTGGCCATCCGAGCATTCACTCGTCTGCATCTTGCCGGATGGCCAGGTCGAGCTGACCGATGATGGTGGTCGCATCCGTCGGGTGCATGGCCACAACTTGAAGCTGTACCTCAAGAGCGACGTGGATCCGCTCTTGGAGGCACCTGTTCCTGCACCTCCCTGAGTATCTACCATGGGCATCCAGCTAAAAGACGGTAAAGAAGCGCTTGTGGGGAGGCAACCCCACCACGGTTTGACTTTCTTTCTTGTGTTTTGAGTCGGATTGTAAACCGGTTTGGTTTTGGTTTGTTTTCTTTTGTTTTGGATGATGTATTATTGGGCTGACCATTGGACCTAACATATTGTGTTTGAGCTCTTTGGTTTCCTTTAGCTATGCTTGTCTTGACTGGTCCTCTCTCCAGTCCGCTTCACTCCGACTGGTCCGCTTCCAGTCTCCTGCAGTCCGTGCATACCGGTAACATCGTTCCCTTTCCCTTCCCTCTTCTCCATTGAGGGCAATGTCGATCTTAAGTGTGGGGGGATGTTTATCTTTTGACTGCATTAGATCTGTTTGTGTGCTTGGAGCCTAGTCCACTGTTCAAATTTTTAAATTTGAGGACTCCAAGTACGTGTTTCCGTGCAATTGCCTGCTCAGTATGCTTTGAATTGACAGTCTTTATAGTAATATGCAACCTAGGGAGGTAGTGTAGCACTATGGAGGATGTTGATGCATTTAAGAAGTCTCATTTCTCATTAGGACCCTTGAATTGTGTGGTGTTGTGGACTCTCTACATGTCATGGACTCTTTTTTCATGTTTTGAGTTTAACAGGTGCTCGAAAATGTGCTTTAAAATAACGTCTCCCGTGCGAATAGGGCGAAAGTGTGTAAGGGGAGACGGGAATTCGTTCCCAATTTCCACCTACTACCTCCAGCCCCCTTACATGTCTTTCCCCCGCACGAGGCTCGAGACATCCGCTCCTAGCATGGCCGGTAAGAGCCGGGCTCCCGCAAAACCTCTGCTAGGTGGGAGCCCCCATTTTCTGAAAAGCAGTTTGGGACCCTTGAAAAAAAAAAAACAGAAAACAAGCAAAACAGAAAGAAAAGGGGTTCAACCATCTTCAAGAAGAAAATAGAGCACCTTGAATAATGTGAGTCCATGATCCTTTGTTTTTGAGAATCTCTTCATTCACGATTCATTTGTCCTCTGTTCACTATTTGCCATGATGCCGACTCGATACTAGTGCTCTCGCCGAAGAAGCTATGAGATGACTTGTGCGTCGGTTGACCTCGTAAGCTGCTAAATGATCTAGGAAGTCCTCTACCTACGATCTGGGTTGTTTGTTGCTATAGAGGTCTGGAGAGTTGCATTGGTTTGAGTTAGGTTTGCTTGGGGACAAGCAAACGGTTAAGTGTGGGGGAATTTGATAACGATGTAATTGCACGTATTTGCACCCCTAGTTCTTATCCGTTTGAGGGGCATAGCCGTGTATTTTTGGCCTATTTTACGCTGGGTTGTGCTACTTTGTCATATTTCAGGTCCCAGGTGTCAAAGGAAAGGCTAAGTTTGAGTTTCGGGGCATTCGGAAGTCATTCGGTGGAGCTGGAGCCAAAACACGGGCACACCTAAATCAGAACACGGCCGTGTTCCTAGGCCGTGCTTTTACTGCCGAGAGATGATTTGAGTTTGGAAAACACGAGCTGAAAACACGGGCGGGCTGGAGCAAAGCACGGCCGTGCCCTCGACCGTGCTTTGCCCAGTGATGCCCTTTTAAGCAGATTTCAGCCAAAAGAGAAGGGGATTCGAGTTTTAGAGAGACAGAGCGATTCCTAGAGAGAGAAAGCGACGAACAAGAGTTCCCAAGTGCCCTAGCTTGATCTTCATCACCATTGGAGCTTGGCTTGAGCTTGTAGGAGTGCCAATCAACGTCCAGGAGCAGGAATCCATCCTTCACAGTATGAATTCCGCGTCTGATTCTGCTTTTGCTTCTTTCTCCATGGAGTAGTTCTCCCATTCATCTGGGTATGGAGAACCCTAGATTTGTATGTTAGGTTTGATTGTATGAACCCAAGTACTGATTCTATGATTTGATTATATTCAATTGAGGTTTGAATGATTGAAAGGCATGATTCCTGATCAAATTCTTGTTGTTTCTGCTTTAACCTAGAATGAGAATATCTGCCTAGGTTGATAGAGCATTCTTGATTGAAGGTAGGGAGTTGGTGACTTTAGTCGAGGAGACAACTCACTATTCTGTACCGAATTCACTTCGGTAGTGGAGGTTTTGTTGTTAGGGCCTCAATCTGTTTACTCCGGTGGAGGTTAGTCGCCCGCTAGAGACTCAGATTGAGAGGGTCTGAAGACCTTTAGTCGAGACTTCAGGCTGTTTAAGAACCTTCCGCAGTATAACTATCATAGAAACTGAACTTGGTAATTGCAATCCGGCTTAACTGCAGTCTAGGGGGAACCATATCCGGGTGACCTCTCTTAACCTGAAAACAACAGTTTACTTGCTTTGTTAGTTTGTTAGTGTAGACTTGCATTAAACTTTCATTGCTAGATAACAAGAATTCACCGAGTAGTCATCAAATCTAGGACCCGGGTTGACATTTAAACCCAAACCCGCTATACCACAGTTTAGGAAGTGGTTTCACTTGGCCAATTCCTAGAGTGACAGTAGAAGTGAGTCAAGTTTTTTAATGCAGGTTTAAACTAACAAACTAACAAAGCAAGTAAACGGTCGTATTCAGGTTAAGAGAGGTCACCCGGATATGGTTCCCCCTAGACTGCAGTTAAGCCGGATTGCAATTACCAAGTTCAGTTTCTATGATAGTTATACTGCGGAAGGTTCTTAAACAGCCTGAAGTCTCGACTAAAGGTCTTCAGACCCTCTCAATATGAGTCTTTAGCGGGCGACTAACCTCCACCGGAGTAAACAGATTGAGGCCTTAACAAACAAAACCTCCACTACCGGAGTAAATCCGGTACAGAATAGTGAGTTGGCTCCTCGACTAAATTCACCAACTCCCTACCTTCAATCAAGGATGCTCTATCAACCTAGGCAGATATTCTCATTCTAGGTTAAAGCAGAAACAACAGGAATTTGATCAGGATTCATGCCATTCAATCAATCAAACCTCAATTGAATATAATCAAATCATAGAATCAGTACTTGGGTTCATACAATCAAACCTAACATACAAATCTAGGGTTCTCCATACCCAGATGAATGGGAGAACTACTCCATGGAGAAAGAAGCAAAAGCAGAATCAGACGCGGAATTCATACTGTGAAGGATGGATTCCTGCTCCTGGACGTTGATCGGCACTTCTCCAAGCTCAAGCTGGCCTCCAATGGTGATGAAGATCAAGCTAGGGCACTTGGAGACTCTTGTTCGTCACTTTCTCTCTCTAGGAATCGCTTTGTCTCTCTAAAACTCGAATCCCCTTCTCTTTTGGCTGAAATCTGCTTAAAAGGGCATCACTGGGCAAAGCACGGTCGAGGGCACGGTTGTGCTTTGCTCCAGCCTGCCCGTGTTTTCAGCTCGTGTTTGCCAAACTCAAATCAGCTCTCGGCAGTAAAAGCACGACCTAGGAACACGGCCGTGTTCTGATTTAGGTGTGCCCGTGTTTTGGCTCCAGCTCCACCGAATGACTTCCGAATGCCCCGAAACTCGAACTTAGCCTTTCCTTTGACACCTGGGACCTGAACTATGACAAAGTAGCACAACCCGGCGTAAAATAGGCCAAAAATACACGACTATGCCCCTCAAACGGATAAGAACTAGGGGTGCAAATACGTGCAATTACATCGTTATCAGTGGGCTAACACGATAGCAGGCCGAGCCCGACTTCCCGGGATGGCAACATCTCTTCGTACCTTATATGGATTTGGAAGGGGTAGAAATCCGAAGTTGGCGTCCGAAGTTGGCGTTGGAGTCATCCGTCTGTTGTCCCTCTATTAGTTTCAATTCCTCACCGAAGTCTGAAGGAGCGGTAGAAATCCGAAGTTGCAGCAGGGCGGGTGGAATTTGGATTGTTTAATTTTGTTTTAGGTGGAGACCGGTTGCCAATGAAGTTGTATGTAGCTCAACTGAAACCATTCATCACTTATTTAGTTATTCCAGCCTAACAATGTTTTCTTTGATTTCACTAATAGTGTAGACCAATCTTGCAATTTGTAATATTAACAATTGATTTAAACGTGTAATATGATCAAGCTACTCAACTTTCAACGACATCACATGTATTTAGCTTAGGAGAGACCGAGAGAGATATCGGGGTTCGATTTTTCTGGTTAAATGATAATTTGAACCGTTTCATCGTTTATGATATGGGATTTAAAACAATTGTTCTTACCACTTTTGGTTTTTTTCTTTAATTGGGAAACCAATAACAAACCAAATAATTTCACTTTGCTTGAAGATTTTCCCTTTGTTTAATTTTCAATTTCGAGTTCAAGAGGATACATTTATAAAAAATTTATTTTTGTGACTACGTGCCAATTTAACAGAAATGATATTCCACCTCTACATTTGGGCCTTTTAGGCACTTTTGAAATGGATGGTAGTGTGCACTTCGGTTGGGATCGGGAAAGGGAGGGAGAGGGGACATTATCGTACAAATTAGTGAAATGGCGGGACGAATTATATTCATCTATGAATGAATAAAATATTATTATTACTAGCACTGGGCTTGGCCGATTGGTCGGGAGAGTTTAGCCGAAATAGTTCAGAAACACCAAGACAAATTGTCAAACTATGCATAATGTGTCACAATATAATAGAAAGAGTAGAAAATTTATATAACCTTAAATAGAATGCAACTAAATGGTCTTTGTCTATTTATAATTGAGGTGTGCTACTTAAGTAAACTATATAGTTGATTATTGGAGTTGTTTCCCATGATACATATGTAATCAACCTTTAGAATGTTGTTGTAGTGTTTTCCCCAATAGAAATCATTATTGTTGATTAGAACACGGGTGATGGATCTGAAGTTTGCAGGCTTTGAAGTATATAGAGCACGATTCAAAGTTTTCACTAACCCTCATATCATAATGTGAAAATTTCCTTACAACAATGTATAATTTTTCTTAGAATGTATATAAATAATGAGGATGTCTAAAAAAGACCACATAGAAGATAGGGCGATGCAAAGAATGAAGAGTGAAAAATCTCTTACCATATTAGAAGAAGATAATCGAAATTATTTTATTTCTCGAATTGAACAAATACTGTCACGTTTTTTTACAACTTCATAATGTTTCACTTTAATCTTTGTTTCATTGCCCTTAGCATGGAAAAATAAGTGAATATTCCAAATGTTATTGTTTGTGACTACCATTATATCTATATAGATCAAAACATTTACTTACAACTTTAACAAAGAGTGCAGTCAGGGGCGGATCTTGGAATTACACCAGGGGTATTCAATAATGAAACAAAAGTATCAATGTCTGCCTTCACTAATTACACCATCACAGGTCTGCCTGGATGCAATAGAAGATAATTCAAGTTAAATTTGGAGGTCGCAGAAGACATTAATTCCATCAGTTATTCGTTGTTGATTGTCATTGACTCCTAACTTTTCGTTGACAACTTCATCTCCTTCGATAAGTTCGATTCTATAACGTATTATAAACGGTTACAACACATACATAATAATCAAACTCTCCTGGCCAACAGGCCAGGCCCTGTGCTAGTCCCTTATATCAGCAGCAGGTTCTATCGGATTACTATATAATGTTAGGACTGAAAAGCAAACCAACAAATTGTTTGGTATACTTTGGTGGAAATTTAATAGCCTTTACACAAAACAAAATGCATTTTTTTATGATAAAAAAACAAAATGCATTGAAAATGTCTGGTTTCCAAGAAGGGAGACTGCCTCAAAATATTTGGACCTCTCTTTAATTTCTGGCAAACTCTCCTATACTGACAATGATAGGCTGGTGGACAGAATAAATTAGAGATAACAATTTTCAATTCAATCCACCAACCTATTAAAAATATCCACCTAATCTAATTCATTTAAATCTAATATATTTGATCCAAATCCAATTGGATCGGTGGATTCATGAATTGATCCAATGGATCCAAATGACAAATTATGGTTTGGTACCTATACTTAATATATTATACATTTTGGTACCCAAAATTTAATTATTTATACGAAAATATCATTGGAAAATTATGTTTTGGTACCTAAAAATTTTCATTATGACATTTTAGTACCTAAACTTTTCACATTTTACATATTGGTCCTTGGTTGAGGATGTTATTTGGATTCATGGATAATCCACCAATCCACTTGATCCAATCCATGAATCCACCAATCCATTTGATCCATGGATCCACCAATCCAATTCACCAATCCATGGATCAATCCATTTGCCACCTCTAGAATGAATTAGAAGATTCCCCTCTTGCCGTGCTAAGAAATTGAGCTATACTAGGCGACTTCAAATTGTCACTAATATGCATATGCATATGGGTATCCTTCAATATTGGATGCAAGTCTTTAGGGGTGGTAAACGGCGGTAAACGGTAAACCAACGGTATCGGCGGCCGAGCGGGAACGTGGGCTACTCGGTTTACCGGACACGGTATCGGTAAATACCGACGGTAAGTCGGTAATGCCGATATCGAAATTCCCCCCCCCTCCCCCGATGCGCTGCTTTTTGCTTGGCACTTCCAAACCCTAGGAAAATCCCAAAACGACAGCGACCCAGCCACCCCGCCCGACCTCTCCTCACTGCATTCCGATTCCGCTACCTAACGGGGGATAAACTGAATCTCCTCGACGACAGACGGGGAGAGCCGAGACTCGCTACGACAACGGCGGCGCTGGTGTTGACGGCGACTGGATAGAGGTGTAGGATGAGGACTTTGCTCAAAATATTGCGAGGGGCGCTTCACAAACACAATCACAATGGCGATGCCCACGATAGAGACGAACGAGATCTTCGCTCCTTGGCTCAATTGGATGAACTAGCTCGCGCTTCTCAGGTTTTGCTTCCTCTTTGCTCTTTTCGATTCCCTGTATTCCTGACATTAGATTGCTTATCTGGTTGTATAGCGGATTTCTCTCTTTTGCCATTTTTTTTCTTTTCGTCATTTTGCTTTCGTGAAAAAGCCGAGGGGAATCGAGCTGTCATGTTCTGTGGGAGTTGACCCGTTCTCACGGTATTTCGGTAATACCGGTTTGTAATCATTTACCGGTAATTCGCTAATCGGTAAACCGGTTACAAACCGGTATCGGTAATCGATTCCAATTTAGTAATTGTCAGTATACCGAACCGGTAAATTCGGTAAACGATTTATCGTTTACCGACCGAATTCTACCCCTACAAGTCTTTCTGTTGCCTAAAAAGATTTCTGAGAGGGGTTCAAGTGACCTGTTCTGATTTCTTGTGGCATGGAGATGTGTTGGTAGGGTAAAGATTGGATGGGAGAGAATGGCAAGGCCGAGAAGAGAAGGTGATTTAGGTTTCAAAGAAAAGAATTATTCACGTGGAACCAGACTTGTACTGCTTGCATGATATGGCTTTTGCATAGTGGCGAATGGAGATGAGAAAACAGAGAGAAAGAATAGGGGTTTTGCTTAGGTGACAATTTTGCCCTATGGGTATTTTACCATACAATTCAATTGGGTTGGGTATGAAATCCAAATACATGGTAAGTGGGTAGAATTTGATTGCTTTATACCCATACCTATTTATTTGGTTTTGATTTCTAATCTATCAATTTGAGTTTGTACACATAACTATATGCAAATTACAATTTGGTACCTAAACTAATTATATCTTTAGAATTAGTACTTAAATTTTATTTTTAGCATATAAGTCCTTAACAATCGATGGAAAATTACATTTTAGTGCTAAAATTTGTGTATTACATTTTAATACCTAAACTTTTTAAGTTTTGTAAACATGTTCAATTTTTGTATGTGTAGTTAAAACAACCTCAACTAAATGAGTACCCATACCCAACCCATACTCATTTGGAGTATGAAAGCAATATCCATACCTTACCCAAACTCATCTTTAAGACCTAAACCCATATAGATTTCACTCGTACCCTACCCATAATCAATGGATTTATTTGGATTTGGGTAAAATTGCCCATGGGTGGGTAATTTCATCCCTAGTTTTGCAGGTGGAGATGAATGAAAGAAGGAGGAAGAATATGATGGGTTTCTAGAACTTGATTAAAAGAGGAAGATTATTAATGGGTTGGAGAGCGAACCAAGAGCCGGAGCGAGCGACGAGGAGGAGAAGTAGTTTATAGAATAAGTTATGATTTGTCTTTTCCGACCGACAACTTCTGTTGGAGCTGAAGAAGAAGAATGACGGTCGGCTTGGTAAAACAAACAAAAATGCAATAGAAAGATATACGAGAGTAGGGGTGTTTAAATAGTTACCATGCTAATTACCAAACCAAACAAATCAAATTTTTTATTAATCATGGCAGGGGCGGAGCTACTTACAAGGTAGGGTGGGCCCCGCCCCCCCCCCCCCCCCCCCCCCCCCCCGGGAATAGTCCGGGACCCTAGAACCTTAAGCATACTTAGATAAAATTTGAATAAGAAGGATTCGGCCAGAACAGTAGTTCATATAACTATTATGTAGTCTATTGGTAGGTAATCCAGTTTTTAGTGTGAAGTACCCAGGTTCAATTCACCACTATCTCACATTTTGCTTTATTTTGAGTGCTTTCAATGATTTTTAGACTATATTGAAAGAAAGATAGCAAAAGCATTAAGTTTAGATGTAATTTTGAGTGATTTGTCAATGATTTCAAAGAACATTGTATACTTTTAAAATAATTATTTTATTTTTATTTACATTTAATTATTTTCGGCCCCACCCGGTGTCGAAATCCTGGCTCCGCCCCTGAATCATGGAATAGAATATCACAACCAAACCGTCCAAACTAATGCAACAGCCAAATTAACCAAACTAAATTTTAATCGGTTTGGTTACTTGGTTAACTGGATTAATTGACATGCTAAAACACAACACCAAACTGCGACCAAGTGTAATCGCAGTCCAAAAATGCAGTAAGAGGCAAGCTCTAATTGTCAACCCGGGGTCTAGATCTACTGCCTACTCCGTGTATATCTGTTATCTAGCAAACTAAGTTGAGTGATTGTGATTTTAACTAAAAGCAGTAAGAAAGCAGGAAATGGTTCGATTTTCTAAAGCAAAGGAAGAGTCACTCGGGAATGAGTCCCCCTAGCTCCTTAGTTAGGTCACAGTTGTAATTACTTTTGGTTTCTTTACTGCTGATTATACTGCGGAAGATCCGACAGTAGCTTGGAATCTCTTAAGCTGACCAAGCCCTCTCAGTCAAACTACCCGGCAGACGACTAGTCTTCACCGGGATAGAACGCTGAGGCAATGAACACATAACTCCACTACTGGAATTAGATTCCAGTACAAAGTTGTGAATCGACTAACTCTCGTATAATCGATTCACTACTACCGATTGAAGAAGCTCTAACAACCTAATCAGATTCAATCTATCTCAGGTTGCAGCAGAAATCAATAAAAGATGATCATACTTCAATTGACTCAATCAAAACACTTCAATCGATTATAATCAAGCAATATCACAATCCAAACGTAATTACAATCAAGATTCCTAACACATGGAACTAGGGTTCTTCATACCCAAGTGAGAGAAAGTTCTACTCCATAGAGAGAGAGAGAGAGGGAAACATAATACAAAGCAGTCATACTCATAACAATGGGAATAATCTGCTATGGGATGCTAATCTTCACTCCTGGGGATGCAATCTGGGCTTCAATGGTGAGAAATCCACTCCAAATAGCTCATAGGGTTTGTTCTTCGCACTTTCTCTATCTAAAACTCTGTTTTCGCTCCAAAAAGTCGATTCTCTTTCCTTTTGCTTGAATCTGCCTCAAAAACCCGATTCTGGGCGAAATACGGTCTGAATTACGGTCGTAATCATGGTCTGCCCGTATTTCACCCAAAAACGCGCGTTTCACTTAACTCTAAGGAAGGGAATTACGGTCGTAATTACCCAATTACTGCCAGTATTTGTGCAATTACAACCGTAAATGAGTCCACTCTTGCCTATAATTTGATCTTCGAAGGCATTTTCAGGGATTTGGCTCAACACTGTATTTACGGGCAGGGCAAAAGCAATTACGACCGTAATTGGGCAGGGGATGCCCGTAATTCTTCCTCCGCTCATGTTTAATGCTTCGTTTCTCCCTCGTCCGGACTCCGAATCAGTCGCCGTTTGATCCCAGACGCTCATAGTCTCGTCCTTCTTCTTTTCATGACAAACTTCCATGATCATTTGTCCATAATATGAGGTAGAAGTCCATTATTCCTCAGGTCATGCTCGTGTTTCTTCTCCCGAATCGCCAAATGAATTCCGATTGACTTGAAACTTGTGCCTATGCTTCAATTTACATGCTAGGACCTGAAATGTGACAAAGGAACACAACCTAGCGTAAAATAGTCCAAGAAAGCAAAAACTCAAGCCAAAATGATCAAGAAACGAGGGTGCAAACATGTGCAAATACGATGTTATCACCAACATAGCATCACATTATTATTAAGTGAGAAAATTTTCAGTTAATGCATCAATTCACAATTTATATGATGAATAAAACATTACAAAGAACATATAGTTATAGTTAACCCATACAAAAATACATGCAACTAATACAATTATCTTACACTCAGTAGAATTATTCACCTAACAAAAATATATGTCAATAGTATGGAGTTAATGAATTGTTGTGATTGTGTGAATTGAATTAGTCTCTTAGCAATTATCACAGGTTGAAAAGACATTCCTTTCAAATTTCATCTAATATATTATATGAGTTTTATCTAAATTGAGCTTTCATAGATCATGGTCTACACTGTACAAATACAAATATATAGTGTAACAACAATATTGAGTTTATTGTTGATAAGCCTAAAAGGAAAGAATGTTTGGTTCTTGAGTGGTTATGTCAAGTATTAACTATGTGTATATTATTTAATTGGTTAATTTGGTTTCATTGGTTAGAAGTGTTGAAACCAAACCAAACCATCTAAACCAAACAAGCTAAAAATGTTAACCAAACCAATTATCCAAATTAACCCAACCAAATTAACCAAATACTACCGGTTAAAACGGTTACCACGGTAACCATACCGTTTGAACACCCATATAAGAGAGGGATATTAGTGACTTTTTAAATTATAGCAGGGACGACATATATGGAAAGTGAATGGATAAATAATGAGTTTATGAATATGAGACATTTGAAAAATACTTAATAAAGTCAATGGAGATTTTCGTATTAACTAAGTAACTTATACATTTTTTCACTAACAAACGAGTCAGCTTGTACCAAATAATTCAATAGAGTTATTTAATACCAAATGAATAATTTTTTTTTTTTTAGAAAACCAAATGATTAATTCAAACGACCCCTTAGTGTGGTAGCATTATGGAAGGAAAGATGTCCACGAGTTTGTGGTGAGCAGCCTAGACCTGCCACAGTTCTCTGCTCGCAGGCGGTTTGCAACTTGCAATTTATAGATAGTAATCAACAAATTTTAAGGGCTGATCTGATTAGTTTGTCTATTAATGATAGGTTATATAAGGTTTTGAAGACGTAGGTGATATAGTAGAGTAACTTGTTGTATTGCGTACTGTTTCTCAAAAGAATACTCTGTTCTCCGTTCCTTATATAATTAAATAATTATTAGAAAAATAATTTCTTCCCTCTCCCTCCCCTTCTTCCTTCCTTCTCTTGCACCCTAATTCGGGATAAGTCAAAATAGTAATTTTGCACCTCCTACTATTACAAATTAACAAAACGAGTGCAAATGTATTGGAAACTGTACTCCTCTTCTTCCTAAACATAGTGTATATCATGAGATGTAATCCTCTTCTTCCCAAACATAGTGTATATCATGAGATGTAATCCATGCTTTGCATGTAAGGCAACTGATTCAAATCAAAATTTGCTGCATTTTTATTGATAACATTAATGCATGCCGTCCAAATCAAGGTTGTCAACCCGGGGGTCGACCCAGACCCGGTCGAGCTAGTGGACCAAGGGTTAATGGATCACCCGTTTTAGCCCGGTTTAGCCCGGATTAACCCGTTTGTAACATTTTAAAAATTATAGAAACATGATGCAATAAGTTTATATTTCAATGACTAGAAATATAATTTAATTTAAGGTATCATTTAGTAAATCTCCACCCCATCTACACACCCTTCATTTGTTTATTCCAAGTTCCAACCGCACTCTCTCCAAATCAATTCTCTCTTTCCTTTTCTTTACAAAATCCCTTGTTTACCAAAAAAAAAACATTCATTTAATTCTATATGCAAGGCTCAAGAGAGGGTGCATAACCAAATCTGGACCCTTCATTTAGAAAATCCAGATCTAAGGATGGAAAATTAAGGACCATTTTTATGTTTCCTAGCTTTCTTAATCGGCTCATATCTTTTTTGTTTTAACTCGGATTTTAATTTTTTTTGCACAGATGGAACGAGTTCATCATGCTCTACCAAATGAGAATAATTTTCAATATTTTTTTAGAAAAAAAATTCTGGCCTCTCGGTACCAACTACATACCATATGGTATCTTCTTCGTTTTTAATTCGTTTTTGAAAAAGTTTGCACAGAAGGGACGAGTTCATCATGATCTATTGGATCTACAAATTTCTGTGTGAACAAATTACAGGACCAAAAAATACCATACAATACCACCCTGGTACGGGGTGGTATTGTATGGTATCTTCTTCGTTTTTAATTCGTTTTTGAAAACGTTTGCACAGAAAGGACGAGTTCATCATGATATATTGGATCTACAAATTTCTGAGTGAACAAATTACAGGACCAAAAAATACCACACAATACCATACAATATCACCCTGGTACGGGGTGGTATTGTATGGTATACAATGTTAAAAGTCGTAAATGACAATTAATATACTTCTACTATTATGCATTCAACCATCCTACAGTTTTGGTTTGTTCATACCACCATGGTACGTTTTTCAAACCATATGTATGCTTTTATTTTAATACCAGTCAATACCATATGGTATAGACCGGTAAAAAATGGCTCAAATTTTTTTGTTCGAAAATATATTAAAGTGGATATCATTTTGAAGAGCACCATTAATCTGATCTAACTGTGCAAAAAAAAAATTAAATTTCGACTTAAAATGAGTGAGAAATCGTCCGTCAAAGATTAAAGAGGGGAAAATTAAAGGCTTTCCAGGAGAGAGAGGATGCTGATGTCATGCTGATGTGGGCTGGTTACTCATGGTTACTCACCATAAGGTTACTGACCTGATCCGTTCTCCTATCTGCAACACCTTTATTCCCCATCCTAATTTAAGTTTACTTAAAATTGGACCTAGGCCCAATTCACTTGGCCGCCCTCCCCCATTCCTTCGACCCAATCCCTAAAACAAACGTTGTGGCGTTGCCTTCTTCGATCGAATTACAGGGTGTTTAGAAGTGAAAGAGCAGCTGTTGCAGCTTGAATCGCATCAAATCACAAAAAAACTTTGTTTGAATCATCGATGCTCCCGTGACCTCTATTCCCTCTTCACTCACCTCCGCTACTCTCCTTTCATCACCTAGTTATGGTCTTGTGGGAGGAGGAAGAAAGCGAAAGGCACCAGCAGCGTCGATGGATTGCGCCGGCGACGTGGACGATGGAACGATTCCTAGGGCCGGCGGAAGCTTGCTGCTGCGACTCTGGTCTGCTGCTAGGAACAATGGCATCAGCCTCCAACCCGCAAACCGTCACAATCGGGTTAACCGTCGAGGTTTGCCGGGTTTTGCCGGGTCAAGGCGGGTTTGACTTTTCCGGGCTAACCCTTAGACGGGTGAATGACGCCCGTTTTAGTGTTCGGGTCCGAGTCAAACCGGGTCAACCCGCGGGTTGACAACCTTGCGTCCAATAGTTGAGATTTGCTGCAGTTCCGTTGTGACGCCTAAACCATATAAATAAGGCATAAGATTATGAGAAACAAGTAGATGACCGGCTCAAATAGAAAATTACTTCAAGCACTATCTGGGGAATATGATACAGACATATTGACCTAAACAAAAACTCTTTTAATCTTATGTATATGCTACATTTTTTTACCACGAGACGTAAAGAAGAACAAGAAAAGTAGAAAATACCATCAATAATGTCTAGCGACAAAAGAAACCACACTAACCCAAATTCAAGTATATAAGAAAAGCCCAAGCACCAAGCAGAGAAACCAAACCAAACCAGTCTCTGTTTTCACTAAATACCCTTCCTCAACCCTACTTGATGTACTGAGACATCCACCTGAAGCCTTCTCCATAACCCATTTTCCGGACGATGCTGCACATGAACACCTCGAGTGGCCGAACATTGGTATCAGCCAAGTTAACTCTCCCCTTCCCTGTTGTGAAGTTGGTGAGGCCCATGTGGTAGCGAAGCTCGTCTTCAGAGGCAGCGTATGGTAGGTCGATCTTGTTCCCGAGTATCAGGAATGGGACGGTGGCCAGTGACTCGTCAGAGAGGAGTGCATCGAGTTCCTTTTTGGACTCGGCAAATCTTTCCTTGTCGAATGCGTCTACCAAGTACACCACTGCATCCACCTTCACACAAGGAGAGAATTGAGATTATAACGATGCTGTACAAACATAAATGATTGGAGTTGTAATGCTAGAGACTCTGTGAATATTATCCATATCCATCTTGATACTTAAACAACACAAGAAAGAGAGACTCGTAACTTTATTTAAGCATCAACATGCAAAAAGCTGCTAGAAATCAGTGAATTTCTGCTTCTGGTTGAGCAGATGCCGTACAAATATGCAGTTAGAAAGACCAAAGACTTCTACAACAACAAGTAATACAGAGAAGTTAGGAGCCTAATTCTAGTTAACTCATTAGGCGCCACTCCAAGTATCACATGATCAAAGTGCCAAATCCTTGTTATTTGTTAGGTACCTCATCTGAAGAAATTAGGCGCCTCCTCTTTGTTTACTTACCTCTCAAGTATTAGATAATATAATGCAAAACGCCTAACCCTTGTTACTTGTTAGGCTCCTCATTCGAAGAAATTAGGCGCTTAATCCTTGTTTTGCTACCGCTCAGTATCAGATGATCAAAAAGCTAAACCATTGCAGGAAGATTTTCAAACAAGCACAAGCATTTTAAGTAGAACCACCATTGTAGGTACATGCAACAAGCAGGAGTACTCCAATACAGCAAACAACAAATCACACTAGTCCTATGAACTGATAAGTTTATAATCCACGAGCTCATCATTCAGTCCTTTTCATTGAGCTGAATCATAGAAAGGGGGTAAACCTGAGTATAATAATCTTTCCACACTCGGCGAGCAATCTGATGACCACCCAAATCGAAAGCTTTGAACTTGATTTTCCCAATGCTTAGCTCTTCAGAAGTTGGGTACTGGGTCGGTTGGTGCTGAACTAGCCTCTGCCCAAAATTCACCAAAACACGATCAATATAAACCCCATCAAAGCTTTTGACTGTAAATATCCACATTCGACTACAATTTATGAAAACACAATTGATCCCCTTTTTCGTTCAATTGAAATTTCTCGGCGGCCAAACAGGAACAATTCCGAAGCCCTGTAATAAACAAGAATACCTCATCTTTCAACATGTGAAGCAGAGTTGTCTTCCCGGCATTATCGAGACCCAGGAACAAGATCTTCGCTTCCTTCTGCCACAGACCAAGGGAAGCCAGAACTCCGTAGAACCAATCGATCAGAAACATGGCACGGTCTCTGAATTCAAAGCCAGCTGGCGAAGGGAAAAGTCCAGAACTTTCGTCAACAGACTGAAAGGAAAAATAACCAGAGTGAGAGAGTGAGGGAGGGGAAAGAGACGGAATCGAGCGATGGAGGAAGCTGTTAAGGGTGAGATTATGAATAGGTTTTTTTTATGAAGAGAGAAAGACAGATAGAAACAGTTCCCACTAGGAGAAGAAGGGTATTATTATTATATTAATTGTTAGCGTACTCCGGGTCGGGTTTCGGGCCTCATAGTGGCCGACGGCGGAGCGAGAATGAGATGCTCAGTTTCTGCGTCATCGGGTGAATTCTAACCGTTGTGAAACTCGACGGCTGAGATTTGAGATGACGTGACGGTGATTTTGGGCTGGGCTTTGTCCAGGTGGCAGAAGCTTTGCTCTGAATGTTGTGGGCTCTTATGATATTTTGGGCCTGGATATGATAACGGGAACAATGGGCTTTCAGACAATGGCCTAAATCAACAAACCTATGCAAAAGTAAAGTAGTAAGTGGAATGGTACGACCGGTGGTATAACCAGTTTGTACCGGTTCATGCCGGTTTAAATTAATGTGAAAATAATTAATATTCAATGTATTTAATCATATATAAAACATATTTGTGGACAATTTAGTTACAATCCAACAAATATCATCAACTTTTAACTATTACATTCATAAAATGAATAGTAATTTTTTCCCCCATTAAAGTCATTAAAATGATGTCATTTTACTTAGAATATGTAAGTCAATCATACCAGTCATACCGGTGGTATCATGCCGGTTTCATGACCGACACAAGTTGAACCAGGTTCAACCGGGTGGCATGCCACCGGCATGACAACCATGGTAGTAACCCTCTAGATCCTCCATCAATTTTTTTTTATATTCCCTAGACTTGTCTTATTTTTTTATGATTATTTTGCTAAAATAAGAATTCATGTGAGTATTTATGTGAATAATTTAAGTTCCAACTTAGTAATTTTGGTGAGTTGCAAAGTTGACTTAGTCGTTTGTGTTATAGGGGCATGAGAATTCAGTTGATGGTCGAGTTTTTTTTTTTTGGTAGATTATACTTAACCTATTTTTACTAATTCATTAAAGTTTTTATTAGTTTACGATAATATGATATATATATATATATATTTATTGACATGTAACACTCATAAGTGACTAAATCAATGAGACAAACAAAAATGTTAATGATTTCTGTAAAATCTAATGAATGCGGAAAGAATGAGGCGACGATTTACGTGGTATCCCCAAAAACACTCATAAGCCGATATTCCTTCTGCGAATGAGGATAACCAACAAAAACACTACGACGACCTCGTGCACCAAACTTATCCAACGAGGATCGTGTATCCTTGCCATAGGCCAAACAACCAAAGGAACGAAGGTGATCATAGGTGGGTAGCTTACCAAGAAGTATCTCGAAAGGGGTCTTATTACCGAGCACCGAAGAAGGAAGCCGATTAATCAAATACGTGGCAGTTAATACACAATCACCCCAAAACCGAACCGGCAAACCAGCATGAAAACGGAGAGCACGAGCAGTGTCCAAAAGATGGTGGTGCTTTCGCTCAACGACACCGTTCTTCTGCGGCGTATTAACACAAGAAGTCTGCAGTACTATCTCGTGATCAGCATAGTAACGACAAAGAGAATTTGTCTGGAACTCTAACCCGTTATCGGTCTGGATACGGCGAACCTGCCGTTGGAATTGAGTAACGACCATCTGGCAAAACATAAGTAGGTATCGCTCAACATCTAACTTGTATTTGAGCAAATAAACCCAAGTAGCCCTGCTATAGTCATCAACAACTGTCAAGAAAAACCGAGAACCATCGAGTGCCGGGGTATTATAACCTCCCCAAATATCCAAATGTATCAAATCAAAACACCCTTGAGTTGTAATGGAACTAGAAGGAAAAACAGTACGAGTCTGTTTAGCCCGCCAACAAGAATCACAATGTGGCTGAGACGAAACAACAATCTTGGAACCCAAAACAGATCGTAAAACAGAAAGCTTGTCAAGAGATGGATGCCCCAAACTTTGATGCCAAAGCTGATTCTCTTTGGTACCCGATGCGGCAAAGACTTCAGGCAGCTGGCGAGTGTTCAGAAAGGCCGGGTGCACCTTCTCGAAGTAGTACAAACCATCACGGAAACTCCCCAGTCCAATCACAGTCTTGGAACGTGAGTCCTGGATCACACACATAGTACCGTGGAAAGTCAAGGTAATAGCATGATCCTGAGTAAGTCTACTCACTGACAGAAGATTGCATTGGAACTCAGGCACAAGAAGAACACGACGTAAGGTAATATGATCATTGAGAACTACTGTACCAATCCCTTCAACTGGAATACTTTTACCATTCGGAATACGAACAGACGAATAAACACCTGAACGATCTATGCTATCTAACCAGGCAGCATCGCGAACAATGTGTTCGTTGCAGCCTGAATCAAGAAGTCATTCACAAGGATGAGTGACATTACCAGCCATATGTGCAGTCGGGTCGGCAGAAGGAGGAGTCGCGGTTGAAGCGCCCAAAAATTGTTTGAGGTAGGCGAATTGAGCAGCGGTCAGCCCAGGGATCAGGCTCTCATCACCGCTGACCTGCGACGCACTGACGAGGACTGACTGAAGAGAAGACTCGGCCTGCTGCTTCCCTTTCTTCCCTTTGCCCTGCGCTGATGGGTAGCCTATAAGTTTGAAGCACATGTCCTTTGTGTGCCCTTTCTTACGGAAATGCTCACAGCGAGGTTTATCATCCTCTTCTGCCTCCACTCGAGTTTGAAAGGCAGCCGAATCCACAACTGGACGTCGCGCGGAGGTGAGCTGCCGTTGATGTTCTTCCGCAGCAACCATCTGATACGCCTCCGCCAAGGATGGTGTCGGCTTTAAACTCAGAATTTGTGTACGAACAACGGCAAAAGTGTCATCGAGACCTAGGAGAAAATCAAAGAGACGCTCGGTTTCCAACTTCTCCCTTGTTTGTTTCGCTATGTCACAAGAACATCCATTGCAGGTGCACTTGGGATTGATGGAGACAGCCTGGAGCTCATTCCACAAGGTACGCATATTGGTGAAGAAAGCACTCACAGATTGCTTATCCTGGCGAAGAGAGCTAATCGCGCAACGAAGTTCATAAGCACGACCAGCTGAGCTAGTGCCGAAACGCTGCTGAAGGTCCGACCAAATCTCGCGGGCTGTTTTGGCACCACGAACGCTGTTGCGGACTTCCTTGTTCATGGAAGTCTTGAGCCACCCCTTGACGGTGGCATCACATCTATCCCAGGCGTCCAGGTACATGGCGTTAGTGCCGGCGGCTGATCGCGGCAGTGTACCATCAACGAAGGCACGCTTGTTCTTGGCAATAAGAGTTTCCATCATGTCGGCTGACCATTCACCATAATTGAGGTCGGTCAAGAGATCACTACCGAAGAGTTGACCGGGATTTTCAGAAGGGTGTAGGAACAGCGGAGAGGAAAGGGGAATCGAAGAAAGCACATCAGCGCCGACGAGCGGTCCTTTGTTTGTGCTCGAGGGCTCCTCCGTTTCCACCATTGTCAATCGATTATTGGCTGAATCGATTACTGCTCTGATACCATGTAAAATCTAATGAATGCGGAAAGAATGAGGCAACGATTTACGTGGTATCCCCGTCAATCGACGGGACTAATCCACGGTGAGCAGAGCTCGAGTAGGGTTTTCACTATGAGAGAACAGAATAGAAATCTGTCTCATATGTTACAGAGGAAGTGGCGCAGAGGCCTACAAATACCCTTCTACGTGAGTAACCTAGGGTAAGTAGGGCAAGCTGCAAAATAACCAATAAGTACCCAAAACAAGTACTAATGACAAATACACGTCAACAATTTCATATTAGGTCATCTATGATCCAAGGTTTTAAGGGTTGTTTGGTTGTGATTTGTGCCCAAACCCAGCGTATGCTCATTTAGGTTAAAATATCATATTTGATAATGTGCGAATTGAGATTGTGTTCAGATCATTACATCTTATTGGAATTCCACACACAGCACCTCCTACATTCCATGTATAATTCCTACATGCCTATTTCTAAAATTGTTAGCATATAATCATATATCCAAACCCAATTGATTTAAGCAAATGATGACAAACCCCCCAAAAAACGCAAGAGTACACCTGTCGAGAAATTCTTCAGTCGATCTGCCAAGAAAAATGGGCGATACTTGGCTGCTGTCTGTGTTGCAGCCCATGGCTGCCACCTATTGACGTGGCACCATATCATTGGTTCAATGGATATTATTAAACTTATTTGGATTAGGAAGGGACGGAAACTATTTCTTTTCTTGGACGGACGGAGAGCAGCCCAAACGGTGCTGTCTCTTTACATTTTTTTTTATTATACTTTTTATATATTTTTTATTAATTGAAAAGGAGATAATAATATTAAACACTCATAGGCATAATTAGTAAATATTCCGTTTAATACACATATATGTATCCATACGTACTTTATTCATTTAAAAGTTTCGTATCCGTATTATTGTCAAGCCGTTTCTTTTTTGTTCGTTCATTTGATAGCTCCCGTATTAAACACGTATAAAACCCATATAATACGCTTAATATCCGTATTTAATGAATTAAATTATTAACTTTATTATTATTTATAAATTTATTTATTTTAAAAATAATTAATTTTATATATTTATGACTTTTAACTTACTATTAAACGTAACATTAACATAGAGACAGAGTAAAGTACTCGTACATATTTTATACATAACTTTCTCGTACCGTATTTTACTAACTATGCACAGAGGTGCAATAGTACTTGTTTTCCATCTTAATTAATAAATAATAAAATTGAATTTATATTTGTAACAATTGTGTGAATGATATATTGCTTATACAAAGGGTGTAGATTCCAAGTTTTCTCCCACTGAACTAATAATTGATTTTTGAAATTGATCATTGTTCATCACCTAAAATCAACCAATTGTTAAGATATGATTCACTCCGCATCATGGTTGTCATGCCGGTGGCATGCCACCCGGTTGAACCTGGTTCAACCTGTGCCGGTCATGAAACCGGCATGACACCACCGGTATGATCGGTATGATCGACTTACGCATTCTAAGAAAATGACATCATTTTAATGAATTTAATGAATAAAAATAATGACTTATTATTCATTTTATGAATGTAATAGTTAAAAGTTGATGATATTTGTTGGATTATAACTAAATTGTCCACAAATATATTTTATATATGATTAAATACATTGGATATTAATTATTTTCACATTTTTTTAGACTGGCATGAACCGACACAAACAGGTTATACCACTGGTCGTACCATTCCACTTGCCAAACCGGTACAACGGTATAAACCGGTTTGACAACCTTGCTCCGCATATTATATCACTCCTCTCAATATTAGTTAAGCTGGAAAACAAGTACTAGTGCACTCTGTGTGTTTAATATTATTATCTCCTTTTGAATTAATAAAAAATATATAAAAAGTATAATAAAAAAATGTAAAGAGGCAGCACCGTTTGGGCTGCTCTCCGTCCGTCCAAGAAA